ATTTTTCTAAATTCAGGGCATCCATAAGTCTTCTAATATCATCACTTGCACTATTTTGTGTCCTTGAAAATCCAAATCCAGAGAATGAATTTGCTATGGGTCTATAGCAAGAGACATGCAACTTTCTACGAAGTTCTACGAAAATATAATCAGTGTACTGAAAACCCTAAAAAGTAATGATATCACAATACTCATGGGGGACTTCAATGCAAAAGTGGGAGAAGGAAGTGATGCTCCTGTAGTTGGAAACTTTGGCTTAGGAACCAGAAATGGTAGAGGTGACAGATTTGTAGACCTCTGCAAGGAACATAGGTAATGTGTGATGAATAGTTTTTTCAAGTTGCCAAAAAGATGCCTCTACACTTGGAGATCACCAGCAGATACAGAAAATAATGTAGTAAGGAACCAAATTGACTATTTTACAATAAATAAAAGATTTAGAAACTCAGTAAAATCAGTAAAGACATACCCAGGTGCAGATGTACCATCCAATCATAATCTACTACTTGCTGAAGTCCAGCTGAAATTAAAAAGGATGAAAACCCTGAACCCTGCTAAACCAAGAATCGACAGAGGCTTCATCATTAAACATGGAGGTAAGATTAAAGAAGAACTAGAAAATCATTTAAAGGAAACCAACAACCTGAATGATGATGATGTAGAAGCGAACTGGAATAAATTTAAAAATGCAATAGTAAAGGTAACGAATTCAAAACAGAGAGAGCTGTACCACAAAAAATAACAGTGGATGATGGAGGAAATTCTTCATCTCATGGATGAAAGAAAATCTTATAAAAATAAAAACAAAGAAAAATACAGTGAATTGCAGAAAACAACTAGAAGAAAAATTCGACTGGCAAAAGAAAAGTGGTTTGCAAAGAGATGCAAGGAAATAGAAGAGACAGAACGTATACATGATAATTTCAATTTACACAAAAAAGTGAAAGAAGCAGCAGGCCTCTACAAAAAGAAAACCAACAACTTAGTTGACAAAGAGGGGAAAATTATCTTAGATAAGGATAAAAAACTAAAAAGATGGAAGGAATATATTGAAGAACTTTTTGAGGACACTAGGTATTATGTCCTGGACCTGTGATTGACAGAGCAGGTGCAGGAAGCTGCAGAAAGACCCAGGCAGACCACATGGCTGTCCGGGCCAGACAGGCTGTCTCCAGCCTATTGCGCATGCGCAAGGTGGGAAAGATACATTGCATTGATTGGTTAATGCTGCTCCCTGCAAGGGGGTATAAAAGGGATCCGTGCCATTTTGTGTTGTTCTGTTGAAGATTGAACAAAGAAGCAACTGTTGTTACTCCTGCCTCATCTCAATGCCTTACCAACGCACAGAACAGAACACTAGGGATGATATAGATGTGGGAAGTATAACAACTGGACCAAATATCACTATCGAAGAGGTTGAACATGCAATAAAAATAGCAAAAACAAGAAAAGCCACAGGACCTGATGATATCCCAGTAGAAATTTTAAAATTGCTGGAAGACAATGGGAAGAATTTTTTACTGCAGCTCTTCAAACAGATATATGAAACAGGAAAGATACCAAATGATTGGCTAAAATCAACCTTTGTGACAATTCCCAAAAAAATAAATGCAAAGAAGTGTATCAAATACAGAACAATAAGCTTAATGAGTCATGCTCTGAAAATATTCCTGAGAATAATTCACACAAGAATATACAACAAAATTGAAGAGCATCTAGGTAACATACAATTTGGTTTCAGAAACAATCTTGGTACACAAGATGCGCTGTTCAGCATTCAGGTTCTTGTACAGCCTTGTAGAGATGTCAATCACAGTGTTTACATGTCTTCATTGATTTAGAAAAAGCTTTTGATAAAATAAGACACAGCAAACTATTAAAAATCCTGAAACAAGGGGGACTAGATGACAAAGACATCCAAATAATAAAGAATCTGTATTGGCATCAGGTAGCAAATGTGAGACTAGGCCAAAAATACTCAGCTGATGCAGAAATAAGAAGAGGGGTCAGACAGGGGTCAGATGTATTCTGTCTCCACTGTTGTTCAATATCTACTCTGAGTCAATCTTCAACGAGGCACTGGAGAACATCGATGCTGGCATCAAAGTAAATGGTGTTTGGATCAACAACTTAAGATATGCTGATGATACAGTTCTGCTTGTCAGTAAGCATGAAGACCTTCAGCTCCTCATCAACAGAGTCACAGAAATATCTGAAAAATACGGTTTGAAGCTTAACACCTCAAAAACCAAGATCATGGTCATCAGCAAACAATCCGTTAATTTATCACCAATAAATTCAGAAGGAATACCACTAGAAAAAGTTGAAATGATCACGCACCTTGAAAGCTGGGACATGACCTTTGAAGTAAAGACAAGGATAGAAAAAGCCCGAACAGCATTCTTCAAAATGAAAAAGATCTTCTGCAGTCACGACATAAGCCTAAGACTGAAAATCAGGCTTGTCAGATGCTATATTTTTCCTCTCCTGCTCTATGGAGTAGAGAGTTGGTCTCTGACAGAAGGCCATCTGAAGAGACTAGAAGCATTTGAAATGTGGATTTACAGATGGCTGTTACGTATAAGCTGGGTTGACAAGATCAGAAATGAGGAGGTGATAAGCCGCCTGGGAAAGCCAAGGGAAATCATCAAAACAATTAAAAAACGAAAATTAGAATATTTTGGACATGTGATGTGACACCCAGAAAAACACAGCATACTCCATTTAATCCTCCAGGGAAAGATTGAAGGCAAACGAGGTCCAGGCAGAAGAAGAACATCATGGCTTCAAAATCTAAGGGACTGGTTTGGACAAAACTCAGCAGCACTTTTTCATGCGGCTGCTGATAAAAACAGGATCGCCAACATGATCGCCAACATCCGATAATGGATATGGCACAAGAAGCAGAAGAAGAAGCAACCTTTCCATTCTAGTCCCTCCACAAGTTCATGCCATCAGGTTTCACTGGGAAAAGACTAAAATAAGCATATGAAGCCTCTGGTAATTCCAACTTTGAATATTTCAGGGAATCTCATTGCATTACCTCCATACCCACTATTTGTGGGTTAAAATACTTTTCCAAAGGGACAGTTCACATTTGTACTGCAGCTGTCAAAAAAGCCAATGCAGTCCTAGGTTGCATCAACAAAGGCATATTAGGGGATTTGGACGTGAGCATACAAGGAAAAGTGGCTACTCTTATTACTTCCTGAATCATGGAACTCATTAGCACCAGCCCTGAAAATTAGTAACCCCATGTCAAGTCCCAACAAGACTGGAATTGATATTGTTTTTACCTGGCTGTGCTTGGAGACTTAGCTTTTTCTTCAGTTCTGTTACCAATTGTTGCAGCTCCTAATTCTCCTCTATCCACCTGTCATTAAGATGTATCTCTGATGCTTTAGAACAGTGGGAACTTCTGATCTTAAGCCACTTGCTGAAGTGGTCCTTGTTAGTTTCAGGTTTCAGACCTCCAGAGCTACTTGTTAAATGTACAATTGCCTCCCTATGGGTTTCATTATGTATAACTTCAGGATAGGTGTTTTGGAAGAAATCTGACTTTGGTGTGACTTCTGATGATCTTGTATTCCTGGTGAGATGAGCCTGTGACTCTACCAGCCATTTTCTTTCAGCACAAGATGAGTGCAAATTTAAACATCCTGTATGGTTGAAACCAATTGAAAAATCAAGCTTTCACAGAACACTAAGGAACAAAAAGGGTTCTCCAGTCAACTATTTTACATTATGGATAATTACCATACTATAATATTCAAATGTGACTGAATAATGGCTTTAAGCAAAACAGTTCCTATGCAATATATTCAAATTTGCCTTTCTTCCTGTCACCTTCCCCCCATTCCAGCAGTCTACGAGAAGCAGCTTATTTAAAGATTATGTAGGTTCGCAATGTTCTCAGCTGCACAATCTTTTTTTTTTTTTAAAGGCAGGTCCTCCTGTGAGCTACATATAACTGTAGCCAAATTATTTGTGATTGGATTCAACAAATTAATTTGTGCGTGTTAATACAAAAGCTTTCATTAGAAAGAAATCAGATTCTGGGATGGGGAAAATATAAATATTTTGCATCCTCTCATCCAGATTCTTATGAGAATACTCTTGCAGAACATTAAAAAAAAGAGAAAGGGATAGAAAACCGCTAATAAATCACAACATATTTATTTAATGGAGGATCTGCTTGGTCTCAGTATTTTACATGGCAAATCCAATTCAAAAGTATCCTTTTATTTGCTTGAGGATTAATAGTTGACACTTTTCAAATGTGTCAGTGTGACTGACATTCTGAATTGTCAGTTTGTTGACATTTTGATGTTAAAATCATTTCACATTTCCTTATAATATTTTATCTTTAAAGAAGCTTATAATTTAAATTAGTTTAGCAATCATAACTAGTACCAGATAAGGGTGTCCATCCCCTCCTCTAAAGTAGGTGTCCAAAACCTACTCTAATCACTTTATCCCTTTTTTGTGGACAGTGCCAAGATCTCCTCAGCAGCCTATTTTTGGCATGTCCTTAGATGTGTTGTGCCACCTGGCAGGGGGGTGTTTGTGTGTGTTTCTGAATGCAAAGAAGAGACTTCAAAACTATTTCTTTGCATCCTATTCTGAACTTCACCTTATTTCATAGCCTACTTTTGCTCACTAGGCTTGCCATTTTTGGATGTCTATTTACCATAAAGTATGGCTTCTATTTATGGGATGATTTGTGACACAAGCCACCTATTATATTTATTTTGGCTGGGCTTTTGATTGTGGACTATAGCAAACCAATGGGACTTTCTTTTTTTGTGGGTTTTTTTTTTTTTTTGGCCCTGAAGAAATGATTTCTGTTTTGCTACTGTGACTCTGTCTTGCTTTTAAAAAGGAGAGGAAAAGGAAAAAGTAAAAAAGTAAAAAGGGAAGTTCAGTTCCATCATACATAATTCTTTGTTTTCTATGTTATTTAATTGTTAAAATGACATAGAATTTTGTTTTTTGCATTCTTTTAAAATGTATAATGAAGAAATAAAAATGATAGTTATATACAGATATTCCAATCTTAATAAACAATTTTACTATGATGTTAAAAAAGAAGGTAATTAGATGATGGTATTGAAGTATTGAAGAAAGAAATTTATATTTAATTTAGAATATAGAAAATGATGGCTAGCTTTTGCAGTCAATATACTATACTCTAATTGTCTACAATTTATGTTGGAAGTTGGAAAACCAAGAAATGTAAATAAATAAATAGAAATAAAAACTAAAATATCAATGAAAAGATATATTAAACACCCAAAACCATGATTTTAAAAGTTAGGATCCATAAGCAATAGTCTCCTTCTTCAATAAAACAAATATGTCATCCAAATCTGGCAAATTAACACAAGAGTTCATTCATACACATTATCCCAAATTGGATGAGAAGTGAGATTTACAAATGATACCATTTAAAAATGTATTTGCACGGGGAAAGAAGACTGCCACTTAGCCAATGGTACAAGGATGACTGGCGAAGGTCCTTTCCAGTGATTTAGAACTGGTCTCTCAATCCAGTTCCCACCAAGGCAGCATCTCTAGGCCTTTCAGAGAGCACTGTGCGGGAGCAGGATATATTTACTGTATTCTTTCTCTGCCTGGAGTTTCTGTATTTTTAATTTTAATTAGTTTCCTTTTTTTAATGTTCACTTTTTCGACTTCTTAAATGCTCTGTTTATGTGCATATTATTTTTTATTTGATTGTTGTACACCCAGAATCACTTCCTTTGAGATGGGCGGCTATGTACACATTTGATAGATAGATAGATAGATAGATAGATAGATAGATAGATAGATAGATAGATAGATAGATAGATAGATGAAAGAAAACTAATGTATATCAAGGAGAAGATAGACTAAAATCTCTTTCCCCCTCCCAAAAGCTATTTCCTGTAATGAAGGGAGGATTTCTTTATTCATTGGAAGGTGTGGGAGTATTCCAACTTGCAAGCCCCTAGGGTAGAATTTCAACAGTAGGGTTGCCATCTGAGAAAGATTTAGCCTTTAGAGAGCAGCCACATTCTTCCTCACATATTAGTTCCTGAGAATGACATGTAGCTCAAGAACTCAAAGCATGTGTCTTTTACCACTTGCCAATCTGTCTTAGGAGAGCATATTCAGCGAGTTCCAAATGTATTATTGCATTGAACATAACTGGCAGTTATTCATACCCGAATGTCCAATCTCATTTTCTGAACTTCCATCTTGAGATTCTCATGCTTTGCTATTAAGTCATGACAATTCATTTCTAGGGTACGGTTTCTGTCCCTCATTTGCTGAAGCTGAGACTTGAGATTCTCCTGGCTTGTGTTTAGCTCACACCACTTTGTTTCTAGTACAGAGTTTCTGGCTTCTTGAACCGAGTGAAGAAGTTGCATTTTGTCATTCCATTTGTTCATCCGTTTCCTGATGCAAGATACAAAAATGATATCATGGCAATACTAAATTCAAGAAGTGCAAGGAGTCTTTGATGTTCAAATATTCCACCAGAATATGATTATATAAGTTTTTAAAGTAAAATAAATAAATATAGCTTCCAACTCTGGGACTTCCTAATGGTCTCCCATCCAAACACTAACCAGGTTTCATCTTGCTCAACCTTTCAGGTTCAAGTAAATTGAACTGGATGCTGCCCTCTAGCTGGGCACACAGTGTGAACTTTTCACTTATTCCTAATCTGATTCCTGTTCTTCAGCTGTCTTCCAGTCCAAAGTGAACCCTTCTCTTTCTTCTAACTCTAGTTCTTCTAATTAGTCTACAATTCTTTTGGTTACTTCTGGATTTTTCATCCTTCATTGCAAGATCATTCTAAGCCTGATAACCTGTTCCCAATAGTAATTTTATTTGGGATTTGCTTCTGTAACCCAATTATTCTTTGAGGCTTCCTACTCTATTTGACAATAATTATTCATGTATTTGTTCTATTTCTTATCTTTTCTCCAAGAACTGTAGGTGACTTAGATGGAAGGGATGGGGAGAAGGTCTCTCTAGACTCCAACACTTGTTCACCATTAATCATTATCCTGCTGCAGTCCAATAAACAGAATTACACCACACTCACTTTTTCTACAGACATTGCACTCAAAGACAAATTCATTGAATCCTAGTATCAGAAGAGGCCATTTAGGATCTTGAGTCTAGTCCACTATTCAGTCCAGGAATCCCACCTTAAAACATTCCTGACTGGTTGCTAACTAGCTTCTCCTTGAATACATCTAGGAACGGGGAATCCACTACCTCTGAGTCTCTTTTCCAATAGATTTTGGATCTTCACCACTTTGTCCCTTTGTGTTGCAGTGACTGCCACACAGTTGCAGCAATCTATATTTAAACAGATGTTATTGATTTCTTGTTTGAAAGCTTGAACTGCTATCTTTGCCTGCTTGTGAGGCTTTTATTATCTTATGCTATTAGTTGTCCTGAAATTGGATGATGTATCATAAACTATTTTTAAAATACATGGGAAAGTGGATAAATAAAATAAATATATGTGAGCATTTCTATTATGGTGGGCTTCTACACCTGTGTTTTGTGAATATATGGACATTCATGCACATGGAACCTTTTATATATCAAGTTAAATTCATGGCTCCTAAAGATGTAAGATTTTGTTATGAATCTGCTGGTGTTTGCATGGTTATATGAACGCATAGCAATTCCCAAAAGATGCAGGCTGCACTTATATGGTTATCCTGGGACAAGGGATAGGAAGTATGCATAAGCATGCATTTTCTGATGTATTTGTTGACTCTCTCTAAATTGATTGCAGTTCTCCTGATATTTCAAGATCCATTTAATAAGACCCTATCAAATAATTTTAATAAAATCAGTTAATAATTTCATTGTAATGTAATCACTTTTAAAAGAAATTAGGGCAAGCAGACGTAATCCATAAACTAATAACTCTTAAGTAATAGCACAAAATGTAAATTAGAACAACTTATGTTACACATGGCATAATAAAAAATAGAATATTTTAGAAAATTGTATGCATAATTTACTCCCAGTATTGATAAATACTATCAGGAAAGCTTGGTGATCAATTATATGAGGTTCTTAACTATAAACTTCCATAAACTTCTTTCTAGTGCATGACACACTCTTTTCCAAACATCTCTCATTCAGCATACTTCAGTTCCCTTAAGATGTTTAGGTCAGGGTATAGGGAAGACAGCATTGCTATTGTGCCTAAGAAAAATCACATATCAAAAATGAAAAACTGCATTCTGCCATTTCAAGCATATACTTTTCTTTTACTGGCACAACCCTTAATACATACATTTTCCTTAAATGAAAGCCTTACCTCTATGCTAACAAACTACTGAGGATCTCTAGAACTGGCAAGGGAATCAGATCAGTCTGTCCTTGTTATATTAGGGCATCCTAAGAATAGTTCTCTGTTTTAAAATAGTACATCATAATAATGCCCTATTTAATTCAAGCCATTAGGCCCTCCTCACTACCATAAAAACCTCAAGTACATTAATTTATAAGAACTATTCTGAATAATTGAAGAGTGCCTTTGATCTGGCTCTCTAAAGGTTATTTCCAGCAAACTCACCTTCTGATTTTCTAGAATGTGAGAACACGCATTTACTGGTTGCTGAGAAACACTGCGCTACTATGGCAACAGAAAGCAAGAGAAAGCGTGCATCATTAATATCTGAAGAAGAAAATTACATGGTTTGCTTCATTACCATCTCTTTTTTTAAAAAAAGCTGGATCTGAATTGTATTTTTAAAGCTCTCAAGTTTACATGTCGCAAGAGTTCAGCAAGGCATTTTCTAATATTATTACAAAACTGAATATTTCGTATTAACTTCCGCCTTGGGCAGAGGTTGGACTAGAAGACTTCCAAAGTCCCTTCCAGCCCTATTGATTCTATTTCTGTCAGATATGGCTTAAAATGCAGAAGCATTCCTACTAACTATCTGAGTTATATGTAGCCATTAAATGTTTCCTTATCCAGAAGAAGAATCAAAAACCTGCCAATGTTGATTGATAGTCAACATTTACATAGCATTTTATCAGAATGGGATTATTCCCAGGTGATTCCATCTCTCCCCAAGTGTCCCCAAGTATCAGTAGAAGAGAGCATGTCCAGAGCAACCTACTATCTTTTCCAAGGGAAAAGAAATAGAGAACATCTGCAACTTTATGCAAATGGTTTCAAACACAGAGGTGCAATACCTGCTTTCCTCACTCTCCTCTCTCCAAACCTCTGTAAATATATTTAGAAGATAGCTCGGTGGAAAAGGTCTGGAATGAGGATGCTTGGCTTGGCTGGTGGGAAACAATGCATGATGCTAGTGCAGGGATGTCAAACTCATTTTCATTGAGGGCCGCACCAGCATTGTGGTTGCCCTCGGGGGGCCAGGTGGGTGTGGCCAGGGTGGGTGCAGCTTACTGGGTGAGCATGGATGGAGTGGGTGTGGCCTACTGGGTGGGCATGGCCAGCTCTACATCATTCATGTCAATGGTGCCTGTGGGGGCGGGAGTGGGACAGATCTGAGGGTCTCTGGCAGAAGGGGATGGGACCAGGACAAGTGCCAAGGCATGGTCCACTGAGAAGCCTCACTGTTCCTCTCAGGCCATTTGGGGGGGGCTGGATGGTGGTGTGGGCTGCCCGGAGCGCTGGGCAGCAGAGGTCAAATGCCCAGCCTGGCCCTCGAGCACCCACAGCACTTCCCCAAGGGGGCCCAGCTGCACTTACCTCCTCCTCCACCTGCACTTACCCCCTCCAAGAGGCTGAGCCAGGTGGCGTGAATCCGAAAAGAAGCAGCCCCCCAGCCTGCCCGACCTCAGTAGGCAGAGGAGTGGTCTCCTCACAGCGCCGAGAGGTTGAGCCGGGCAGTGCGAAACTTGCCAGCTTTGCACCTTGCTGCCTGCTGAAACTGGGCAGGCTGGGGGCTAGGCAGCATTGCACTTCTCATCAGATTTGTGCCACCTGGCTCAGCCTCTCAGTGCTGTGAGGAGAGCGCCCCGCTGCCTGCCAAAACCCCTCCCTCGGAGCCCCTCAAGCCAGATATGTGAAGTAGGCCAGGGCCATTTGTTGGCCACTTCCAGGCAATGGTGCATTTCTTCATTTCTCACAAAGGGTGACACCTCCCCAGCATGCACCCAGGGGGCAGGGCCAACGTGGCAGGGGCTGGTTCCTCGCTGTTTCCAGACGGCCTTGTGGACCTAAGACTGAATGCGTTTCAGCATAGATGGTCACCACAAAATTGTACATTGGCTCCTCCCAGCTAGCCTGGGCCAGGGCTAAGGCAGCAGGGGCCGTTCCCTCACTGTTTCCAGGATGGCTTCGCGGGCCACACGAAACCACTTCTCGGGCTGCATCCAGCCCCTAGGCCTTGTGTTTGACATGTCTGTGCTAGTGTGTATTCTTCCATCCATAGACACATAGGACAACATACAGATTTTCAGTTTTTTTAAATAAATATTTTACAGTATTTTAATTCACCCCAACTTGGATTAAGTCAAAGTATTTAAAGTCAAAATATAAAATACTGATATTTATAAAACATTAAGTACATATAAAGTAATGGCATTGGTGAACAACTGATAAATACCATCCCATAAATGCTTTCCAAAATGGCAACTGGAGTTTCTTGATGTTTTATTTCCTTGAAGACATTTTCTTTCCATCCAAGAAGCTTCTTCAGTTCAGTTCTTCAGCAGAACTGAAGAAGCTTCTTGGATGAGAAGCAAAATATCTTCTGGGGGGGGGAACCTTTGGTACAATCAATCCCATAAATCAGGTAACCTAAGACCCCACAACCTGCTTTGATGTTAGATTGAGAAAGAAACTGAATGGCAGAGATGAGAAGGAATAAAACATTGAAAAAGAGTAAATAATTTTCAGCCTTATAAATGTTTGTAACATAATTAATTCTGTAGACTTCAATGTTTTTCTATTTTTCTGTCTGTTATTTTGAAGTGTTTATACTCCAGCTTTTGGGATAGCAGGTATGTTCTAATCCTATGGTATTTTTGTCCAGCAACTGTGGCTGGAATCTTCAGAGGTAAAAGCTTTGTAATTTCATTAGAGCAACCTGAAAAACCCAAAGCAGCTGAAAATGAACTACTACATAATGGGCATGTTTAAAGACAGACAAGTACTAGCAATCATATCAAATCATCACGCACAATTCCAACAGAAGCTATTAAGATTTATAAACTAACAAAAAGGAATACAGTCTGAATCTTAACAAAGTCTTGTTTTCAGCTTTATGTCATGCTAAAATAAAACAGCAGCCCTTAATTAACAAACTGCATTTAGCAATCTCATTTGAGTCATTCAGTCATTCAGCAGTCATTGAAAAATAATAAACTTCAGCAAGATTCAAAGATAGAAAGTAAAAAATTAACGCCTTTGGAATTTCTTCCAAATTCACCTGGATGAAGAACCAATCAGAAACCAGCTTTCCAGAATTCCAATGACACAAGCTAATTAGAAATTAATTCAGTTAAGAACACAAGAGGTCAGTCAGTTCTGGCTCAGTTGCCTGTGAGCTGCCAAGTAGTGCATTACAGAGTAGATCACTTTCACTTCTCAAGGTCCCAGCCACTGTTGCTGACAAAACCAAGATATCAGCTAATTAGAATTAGCCTGGAAGCTCATCGCCACTGGATTAATGCTGGCTAGGAAAGACTTCATTGATATATTGTTTGTACTGTTATAATTATCTCCAACCACAGAATGTTTCTGTACTCACTGAATTACAGCACATTAAGACATTTCAAATATAAGAAATAGCTAATTACTATTATGGAAAAAATCCCAAAGCCATAGTATCTTAGTATTTTTATTAGGTCTAAACAAAACATTACAGAACAGAGGTTGACAGTCAAACTGGAAAAGTCTGCAGTCTTGATTTGGAATGCTGAAGAAGTACAGGCTGGATTGGAGGTGAAATTGATTTTAAATAGCATTGCAGATGGAACAGAAGTCTGCCCATAGCAGGGTAGTTTTGAATTTAACACACCTTGAATTTATAAACTTTTTCAGCTTAGAACATTACCTGTCACTTAATGTTATTGCAATAAAATAGAGTTAAACTTGTTAATCCAAATATTCTGACTCTTTTACCACATTAATTTGGCTAAAGCTAATGCATTTAATACATAATAAAAGAAAAACTGCTTATGTTTTTATATAACTACACACTCAGATACAGAATGAAAAAGCAGTGTTTCCTGCACTAAATTTATTATTGTTAAGTTGTAGAAATCAATTCATCCAGGAATGTTTCTGTTGCAGCTAATAGGATAAATTATTAATTTTATTCACTCTGCACAAATTTAATCCCTACTTAAAATAAACCATTATTGAAGCATCACAAGCTATAGAATAAAAATAAATAGAAGCTAGTGTGTTTTGCTGTTCTTGCTTTTTCAGTAAGATACTTGAGCTGGTACTCTTCCAACTGGAGTTATCTTATGTTTATAGATCCCTGTATAAACATGCATGAGTGTACATTTTGTTCACATACAAAATGCCTTATAAAAAAAGAAAAAGAAAATTATTGTCCATATCAAAGAAAAGAAAACCAAATGCACATCTGAACTTCGGGCACATTTTCTCACAATTTATCTTGCATCACTATTCTGGTCACTTAAATAACTATGGACAAAAATATGCTTTTCAGTTTGTGTGGTAACATACCAAAATTACATGCATGCAGGACTGTCAGTTATGACTTTACAGATATTGTAGTGCCGTAAATTCCAGGAGTCTCATTTACTAACTCTACTGTTCATCAATGTATCGATGGCCACAGATTCTATAGGAATGTCTGTAGGAGTAAATTGAGAAACATTCCAAGGAGTATTTCAGCACATGCCCACAAATGCAGATATGAGTGCTGCCATTTCCATTTTGTTTATTGAACTAACACAGATTGCATTCACATATCACACAAATCCATAATGTCAGCTTAGTGGGAAATAGAGGTCCAGATACTGGATTAGCCAAAGTGATAAAATCACAGAATGCTTGTGTTAGAAGGGACCTTATAGAATATCTAACCCAAACTCTACTCTATGCAGGAATCCATTAAACCATCCCTAGTTTATGTAGTCAATGTTAGTGTAATATGAACTCCCGGGACTCAGACTTCATTCACTTCAAAAGAAACCAGAGAACAAAATCATACTTTGTTCTTATCTTTCCTATTCTAGAAGAATAAAGATAGATAGATAAAGCCTAAATCTTCTTTGCAGATTAAGCTAGGCCACTGGTGGGTTGTTGTTGTTTTTTGCAACTGAGCATGATTTGTCCTAGAATCAAATTCAGTCTTGCCCTCCTCAAATCTCATTTCATCAATTCAAATCAAATATATTTTACACAGTTCATTCAAATTGTATAATTTAAGATATTTGGATCAGGCACATTTTTACTTTTATTTTTGCATATTCACATTTTGCCAGCTTTATAGTTTTGTGTGATATAAAAACTGGAAATGCAATTCAGTAAAAATTATGACTAACATGAGGTCTAACTGAATGTTTAACTCAGCGGGAGTCAAAATTCAAAAGCTTTGGAAAGATGCCAGGCATTAATAAATATCAACATAACTTTAAATTGCAAATTAAATTTGACAAAGTAAAACAGTATTGCTTTCTTATATTATATTTTTTGAAGTATATCATACAATTTTCTGCATTCACTAATGAATCAATACAACTTTCGTTACGCATTAAATAATACTTTTGTATTTAGCTTCTTAATCATCTTCAGCTTCAATGTTTTCTTCTTCGATATTTTTGGACTCATTTAATTCATCAGTATCTTCCGTTTCTGTAACTGACAGAACTGTTAGTTTTACACATGCTCATCTGCAAGGTGTTAATCTTTTTTACTTCAAGAAAAGAATGTGTGTGTGCGTGTGTGTATTCTGTATGAATACTGAATGTGGTAGAGGTGAATTTAAATCAAGGATTAAATATGGACTCATATGTTAAGTTTTAGTAATGTGATCTCTTTTCCACTTTTGTATTTGTAAAAAATGGCTTGTTACAGGTTATCTGCAATCAATTCCGTTAGCTTAGATGAGAACAAAAACTTATGTGCATGAAGTTGTATTTTTGTCTTTTAAACATTGTTTTTAATGCTACTTTACTAATGCTAGTGATCAAGGGGCCTCATGATACACTTGGAACTCATTTGTATGACTAATGATGATGCACAAACATTGAACAAACTGGAGACAATATAATTTAATAGAGCTACACAAAAGATGAGGCTCTCCTGCCAGCTTCTTAATGTTCTACTTAAGAGTTAATTTATATAAGTACCTTTACAATTTCATCCTTGCAAATTAAGTAATAGATGGTTTATTACATTATTCATACAGTATATCTCCTCAGCTACCTAAAAGGAAATGCTTTTCAATGGGGTCAGTTATCTAGATTAGCTATAGTTAGCAAACCTAATTTAAACTCATTGCTTTTTCCAGTTATAATAGTCAGCCAACTACTAATTCTCCTAACCAAAAGAGGAGAAAAGTGTGAGAGAGTAATTCTGTGCCTGGAATTCAGCCACAGAGAAATGGATTGCTTTTTCCTACTTGTCATTTATCTGCCTTGACTAGCACCATGCTCAAACTAATTTTGAAAAAAAAAAAGCATGTAGAAACAGATTTACCTTCAGCAACAGTTTGGTCTTCACTTTCCAAGGCTCTTTCTTGGTCAATTAAGGAAGCTTTGTGTTCTAAAAAAACCAAAATCAAAGTTCAACCAATCTCACAAGCTTTTTGCAACATTCATTGCAATTCCAAGAGTGAAAGATGGATATAAAAACATCTATCAATCACTATACAGGTTTTCCCCCTTCAACTACGCGTAGCAATGTGTAATGGTTTTTAAATATAAATTTAAAGTATTACTATTAATATTCCTTAAAAAATCTTAGTTGTTGGTTTGTAATTTTATATATACGCTAAATAGCAATATAGCTATATAACTAAATTAGTAAATTACTATTTTTAGACGATACACTTACAAAAAAGAAACAAAAGCTATTCTATAAAAAGAGCTGTACAGTGAGACAAGAAAAAAAAAGAAAAAAGTCCAGTGCTAATGGTCTTCAGTGATGGTAACTGGGGACTGCTGGAACTGCTGTTGCTAAGCAGTATGATCACATGACATTAGCCTTTATGAACGCATTGCTTAGCCATGGAAATTCCGCTCCCAATTACCATAGTTAAACAAGGAGGATTTGAGGGAAATGGAGCCAAACAATGTATCCAGCTAGTATTTTATCAGTATAATATGCATTGCCATTCAGTCTAAGATAAATTGTATTCCTTTTGTAAAATCTCAGAAGTTTTGAAAATATCATTGTTACTGATCATTAACTGCAAAACATTTATAGAAAAGTTTAATTTTGCTCTCGATGGTGAGATGGGAAGTGTATAATTTTAATAAATAAATAGTTAATAAGGTAAGAATCCTATTATGAGCCCAGGTTTTCAACAATAAAAGCAGGAAAGTTTATTAGCCATTTAAAAATATGGATTGCTTCAATGTATCCATTTCTAATGAGAGGAAAAATCAAATTTAATTTTTAAGGCCAAAATATACCCAACTCCTTCTCTGTTAAAACAGGAACTAAATCCATTCTCTAATTAGAACCAATAACCTGCCAGGATTGCAAGAGTACTAAATAGGAACTCTCAAACTGAGTCCACAGTGGTAGGTATTCAATAATGTTTCCATTTCAATACATGATTAACAAGCCTAATGATGTTGTTCAAAAATCGGAACAATTGAAACTATTGTCAACATAAGACATATCTTTAACAAGGAGATCCTTGCTATTTGTTTAAAAGTTTAATCACTAAGTTACCAGTTTAAAACATTTAAGTGAAAGTAGTATAAATCTTTACAAAATTTAAACTTCTAACAAACCAAAGTGTATTTTCATGTACTTCTTAATATCCTCTTACAGCTAGTCCTCGACTTAGAACAGTTTGTAACTATTCCAAGTTACAACATTGCTGAAAAAAGTGACTTATGATCATTTTTCACACTTACAACTGTTACAGCATCCCCATGGTCACGTGATCAAAATTCAGATGCTTGGCAACCAACTCATATTTATGATGGTTGCAGTGTCCCAATGTCACCTTTTGTGACCTTTTGACAAAGTCAATGGGGAAGCCAGATTCACTTAACAACCACGTTACTAATTTAACATTGATTCACTTAACAACTGTGGAAAGAAAAGTCATAAAATGGGGCACAAATGTTTCACTTAGCGAAAGAAATTTTGGACTCAATTATGGTTGTAATTCAAGGACTACCTGTATATCTGGGAAATACATTTTGAAATATTCTTATCCACTAAACTCGAAATTTCCTGAAGATATTATATATTTATATGATGTTATGACATGCCTGATGTCATTTAGTCTCCAGCTCCTACTTTTGAGAGTTTTCATGAAAAACATATCGTATTTTTCCGTGTATAAGACGCTATTTTTTCCTGCAAACACCCTGTCCAAAAATCAAGTGCGTCTTATACAAGTGCAGTGTCTTATATACGGAAAAATAACGGTAACCTCCGCAGCCCAGGGCATGCCTGTGTGGGCTGCCATGCTGCCTGGTGCAGGTTCAAGCCCCAGGGGGCTTGCCACTAACGGGAGGAGGGAGGGGGGCAAGATAATCAGCCGGCCGAATTTCCGGATTTGCCTGCTCAGCTGTTCGCTGCACCGAACAGCTGATTGGCACAGAGAAACTTGCATGCCAGAATGTCTTATACAAGGGTGCGTCTCATACACAGAAAAATAGAGTATCAAAGAAATCCAGTAATATTAGTGGTATTGCTGTTATGTACCATATACATGCTCCCAAATTAATACAATAAGAAGTCCTGAAAATCTCTTATAATTTAGTCAAATTTGACAATCATTTATCAGCTGCCTAACTGAACCTGGCTGATTAAAAAAAAACACTAAACAAGTTCAAACGTAGATCACAAGAAAAGATCACAAGATTTTCACAAGAAAATCCCAGGGTTGTAATACATGGAAAGATATTGGAAAAAATAATCAAAAAACAGATCTGTGAACATCTAGAAACAAATAAAGTTTAGTCACAAAGTGACTAAATTAGTAGACCAGTGAAATGCTGAGGACATAGTATATTTGGACTTCAGCAAGGCATTTGACAAAGTAGACTACAGCCTACTTCTTGGTAAGCTAGACAAATGTGGGATAAACAGCATCACCACCAGATGGATTTATAACTGGCTGACATCAATACTTGGGAAGATTCTGGAAAAGGTAATCATCCAACGAATCTGTGAACACTTAGAGACAAACAAAGTCATAACCAGAAGCCTACATGGGTTTGTCAAAAGCAGATAATACCAGATAAATCTTATTGCATTCTTTGAGAAAGTGACAAAATTATGGATCAGAGAAATGCTGTGGAGGTAATTTATTTGGACTTCTGAGAGGCATTTGATAAAGTAGACCAAAACTGACTACTTGGCAAGCTAGTAAAATATGGGATAGAGAGCACCACCATCAGGTGGGTTTGTAACTGGTTGACAAATCATACTCAACTTGTAGTCCTCAATGGAGTACATCCACATGGAGGGAAATAAGCAATGTGGTACCCAAACCTCTGTCTTAGGCCCATCACTCTTCAATGTCTTAATAATTTGGATGAGGGGATAGAAGGGGAACTCATCAGTTCTGCATATGACACCAAACTGGCTCGAATAACCAACACACCATAAGATAGGCTCAAGATACAAAAGGATCTCCACAGACTTGAACATTGGGCCCTGTCTAACAAAATTAAATTCAATGGTGAAAAAAATAAGGTTCTACATTTAGGCAAAAAAAAAAAAAATCAAATGCACAGGTACAATATAGATCTGGCTCAATAGTAATAACTGTGAGAGGGAATCTTAGCTGACAGTCACTTAAATATGAGCCAGCAGTGTGCTGCAGCTGCCAAAAAAACCAACACAGTCCTAAGCTGCATTAACAGAGAGATAGAATCAAGATCACACGAAGTGTTAATACCACTTTAGAATACCTTGGTAAGACCACATTTGGGATATTGCATCCAGTTTTGGTTGCCACAATATAAAAAAGATGTCGAGACTTTACAAAATATGCAGAGAAGAGCAACAAAGATGATTGGAGAATAAAGCTAAAACATATGAAGAATGGTTTCAAGAATTGGGTATGTCTAGTTTAATGAAAAGGAGGACTCGGGGTGACACGACAGCAGGGTTTCAATATCTGAGAGGAGTCAAGCCACAAAGAAGAGGGAGTCAAGCTATTCTCCAAAGCACCAGAAGGCAGGACAAGAAGCATTGGATGGAAACTAATCAAGGAGAGAAGCAACCTAAAACTAAGGAGGAATTTTCTGACAGTTGATTTAGTCTGATGTATCATTTCTTTAAAACTCTGTATTATTAATATTTTTACTATTTTATTTTTGTTTTAATTTTGTAAAAATAAAAGAATGTTTAGGGGATGATAATAAATATCTGGGACATTACACATTCTCTTCATGACCTGTTTTCCTTGTTACTTTCTGGGAGGAGGCTTCGTGGTATCTGTAGCAGAACATCCAGATTCAGCCACAGTTTTATTCCAGACAACATTAACCTTGTGAACTCTCAAGCTTCCTCCTTCCATTATATATTCAAGATGGACAGTATTTAATATTTATTTGCTACGTATATGTAGGGGTGCGGGTCTATACATATGTTGTACATAGTATATTTTAGGTGTGTGTCATGTATGTGTTTCACTTTGAGAGCGGGCAACTAAATTTCATTTCTGATGTGTGCCGTTATGCCCACAGTAAAAAAAATGACAATAAAGATTATCTTATCTTATCTTATCTTAATTATTTTAATTGCAGTTTTTAATTATATTAAAACATTTCTTTGCCTTACCTTCATTTACTTCAAAGTCTTCCTCTTCTTCTACATCACGATATATCGCATGGACGTCTGAAAGAAACAATATTTGTGTTGTCCATTTAACTATACTCATTCTATTAATATGAAGATGAATAAAACACACACTGTCTATTTGCCATAACAAACTGAGTTATCATGTCTATATTTTAAGGACTAGCATAATCCAAAAAAAAAAAAGCTAGGTAAATGTTATTGTTATTACTGTTTGAAGTTAAAATTGCATTGTTCTATCCATGTGTCTGAAATTTGATTTGTATAGACATCTATAGATTTATATTGTAAATTCAAAATGTGAAGGGCTAAACTCCAAAGGTAGCAGAGCTGTTTTATTTATTTCTATTTTTTCCCCACAGAAACAAATTGCCAAATTCTCCAATTTAGGAACATAGCTGCAATTTTTGTTAAAGAATCAAGAAAAAGCCAAGGAACAACTCTTATTTCAAGCAGGACAGCAGTCAGATGAAGCAGCTGGCATAACAGTGATTGATACAGTAACACTCTTAATATATAAAAATATTAAAATTGATGATGGCTGAATGGAATTAATCCCTTTAATGCTCTATGTCACCAAAGAAGGCATATGGACATGCTAGAAGCTCTGAAATGTTCTTTATCATCTGTTCTTTCACTTCAAATGACTAGAAGTTGTTATCAGAAAACATCATATTGCTATTGTTCATGAAATGGGAGCCTGAAGTGACTACTTGTTAGTGCACTTTAAGCAAGATTGAATTGTTCACTGCTGAAGGAATCCATCCAATTGAAATTCACTGCTGAATGCAGATTTTGATGTGAGTATTGTGCATCATTGGGCCAAAAAATGTTAAGAACTGTGAACTGGAAGAGCTGATTTGTATGAACAAGAATAAAGTGCATGACAACCTATAATAGCAATCAGCAAGTTTCATGTGACAAAGACTAATGAATTGATTAAGGACAATCTATTGATCAAGTTTGAAATTTCACAGGAACCTGAGAGTCATATAATTAATATTCTTCAGTACTGGAAGGTGTCTACAACATGGGTTCCTTGCATGCTGATGACAGAAATGAAATCTCCGAGAGCTAAACTACACAAGCAACTATTGTCAGGCTATGCAAATGAAGGTAAGGACATTCTTTATAGCTTGGTGACAGTAGACAAAACATGAAATCATCTTTATGAGCCAAAAACTAAGTGTTTGGCCATGTAATATAATCAAAAAGTTTAACCTGCTGTACAACAAAAAGTCAAAACCCAGACCTGGGCAAGAAAACTTATTGTTATAGATTTTAGGATGCAGATGGTGTTATTTTTTTATTTATGAAATTTATTTGCCACTGATCTCGTATCCAATGATTTTGGGCAACTTGTTCAAATGGATTTTTTGAATCTGACACTACTTCATAGCACTAGATTGCAACACCAAGCATTTTGGAACAATGATTAAGCCAAGTTTAGAAGCATAAAAGGGTTGTTCTGCTGTAACCCAACAATACTAAGTCTCATACATTACAAGCCCACCAAGAAGAGATTGCAAGATTGGATCTCACAGTTTTACCCCATCCCCATACAGTACAGACTTGGTACCATATGACTTTCATCTTTCCCCAAAATTGAAGGACTGTCTATAGGGACATCTGTTTGACTCAAATGAAGAGGTGCAAAACACTGTCAGCACCTAGTTGAAGAGACCATGAAGTATAGAGTTCTTTCATGATGACTTTGAGAAGTTTATTATCGTTGGTAGAATTTTCTGACAGTTAAAAGAATTAATCAGTAGAGCAGCTTGCCTTCAGAAGTTGTGGGTGCTCCATCACTGGAGGATTTTAAGAAGACACCCTATACCATTTGTCTGAAATGGTATAGGGTCTCTTGCTTGAGTAGGGGGTTGGACTAGAGGACTCCAAGAACCCTTCCATCTCTGTTATTCTGTTAAGTACATGAGTATGTGGAAAAGTATACATAGGTGTTTCCCTGTTTCACTTATTAAAATATCCCTGTTTAAATTAAAGATAAGTGAAGACATTATTTTTCATTCAACTATTCTATACTTCCCCTTTCCTTGCCCTACCATCTGACCAATCTGAATCTAGTTTTCCAATTCACTACAAAAGGTACTGAAGTCTATATCCTTCTTCACAATAAACTAAAACAACATCATGTCTTTGACGGGAAAACCTTCCCTTTCCCAAAGCCTGACATGGCTGCATACATTTTATAACTTAGTTTATCTCAATCACGTAGCAATTCCACCTGTGTAACAAAAAGAAAAACAGAAAACTGATGCAAATTATTTCTTTACTGGAAAATATGCTCCAGCACAGTGCTATGACGAGGCTTCAACACTAAGCTTTTCTTGTTTTTTTTTTAATGAGAACAAAAGGGAGGATGATGTTTTCTTTTTATTTTGAAAGACATTAAAATGTAGACTTTTCTGCTTTTTCTTCTTTGTAAAAAGAATGTTCAATGATAACATTTACTACTAATGCCCCAAACTGCTGCAACTTCTTTTGGAACTGAGAAGAAACAGGTGGCATGGAGAGAGGAGAGTGGATGGATTAGAAAGAAATAGGCAGGGGTTGAAGAAAGATATTATGGGGAGGCTGGGAAGGATCAGAGAACATAGAGGATACTGCATGAGGAAGAAAGAGTGGAGTAATGGAAGAAAATATGGTTGAGAACAGAGAGGTAGGAAATGTAGCAGCAACTGAGTATAAGAAGAAGAAAAGCTGTGGGGGGGGGGGGTAGGATGGGGTGAAGTGGAGAAAGTATGTGGAGTGCCTCACCCAATCAGGATTTATGAGACCCAGAGGCAGTATACTTTGCATTCCTATGGTAGTCAGTAGTGATAATTATGGATAACCGTACAAAATTGTATGTGGGGAGGTCTTGAGGCCTCAAATATGAGGCCAAATAAACACCTATACCACTCTAGTCTGAAAGTTGAAGCAGCAAAAAAGGAAGGTTCATTTCTAACATCTTCTCCTCTGTAGTCAATAATTTTCTGACTTCATTCAAATGTTTAGAGCACTAAAACTGCCAAACTGGAAAACAATGTCAGTTGGTGGATAAAATACAAAGTATTTATCAGCAAGGATCCTAAGTTTTCAGCATTTTTAAAATAATTCTTTTGAAAACTCCACCAGAAATAATTCTTAACTGTTCCTTCCCTCATATTCCACCAACTTCATAATTTTAAGCAAACTACCACTGAGAAAATACTAGTAGTAATAATAACAGCAACAGTGAAAAAAAATGTTAACTCCAGAGGGCACTCCACTATATAAGCAGATTGTTTACACTCCCTGTCCCACAACAATCAGGATTCTCCAGTAATTTAGTAATAGATGCTTTATTCTACCACAGCTAAAATTTAAACATATTTATTTCATCACTTGTATTCAGTTTAAAAATTGGTAATAGAATATTTATTTTTAAATTTGTTTTATATGTACACTGTGATTTTATGGATCGGTGACAAGTTCCTTGTGTGTCCAATCACACTTGTCCAATGAGGAATATTCTATTCTATTCTAAATGCTATTTGTACTGCTTGAGTATTAAAAACTTGCTACTGATATTTACCTCTTCTTTGTGGATTCAGTTCTGCTACTTCACCTAAGGCAACTTGTTTTTCCTGAATAGAAAAGAACTGTATCAATTGGAGGTGATTTATAACAACACTGATAAGAAGACTTTCAATGAATAAAGACTTTTCATTAATACAGCTACTTGAGTGTCTCCATAACAATAATGTGTTACTCCTAAACAATTAATCTGTTAATCTCATAAGTGGATTTGATTTTAAGGAAAATTATAATTTCCACAGAATAATGTAATTTTATTTTATAACAATTTTTGCTAATTTTTATGTTCATAAAAATATTTTATCAGATATACCACGTTGCCATTGCCCACAGATGATTTAAAAACCTTCAGTGTGTCTTTTTGAATTCACATTATCAATAAATTTATAAAATCTGTCAATTATTTCATGCATCATGTTTTACTATGTACATATTTTTTTTCATTGTCCAAAATAAACAGCTAACAAACCATCCAGAAAATAATTTTAATATAATAATTTTCAAATTAAGTTTAATGTTTAAATTTCAATTTCAATGATAAAAAAGAACTGGACACTAGACTCTAAATGACTAAGTGTGTCTTAGTTGATTTGCAGATAAGGTTCACTTTGTGGAACAGCTATAATATCTTGATGAAAGCTTTCTAGATTATCCAAACTAAAAGGACAAATTATATGAATAATTTGATATGAAAAAATATGAATATGAAAAAATGAATATATACATAAACAGTATGATTTTACCCGAATGAGATCACAGGCCAGGATCAGAAGATACGATTGAGTTTTTTCATTAATTTCTATTTCTGTATAGATCTCCCAGCTGCCATTCTCAAACCTTATGGGCATTGAATAGACAATCCCCTCAGGAAGTCCAAACTGACCTAAGGAACAGAAATAATTGACTTCAAAAATATAAAACGCACAAATAATAAATCCATAATACGCAGATATTTTTTTCTATGCCATTTGAGCATCACAAGAATATGATGCACATCCCTCCATTCTAATTCTAAAAAAATAAAACAGAATGACTAGAACTGACTTTTAGCAATAAATACTCCTCTCTGGTCTAGGAATTACTCCCATTGCTATGATGGAGAGAGCAGAGGAGTTTAATCTAGGTTTAAACTACATTTTCTAGACATGGCCACTAGTAGAGGTGTAATCTAGAAGATATTATAATATTTTACAGATCTAAAGAGAAGTTATTAATTTGGTAAATAAAACTTTGTATTAAATCTTACTGATGCATGATTTGTTAGAAATCCCTCCATAATCCAGAATTAGAAAAACCCAAAAGAGCACCATTATTATTAATAATAATAATTGTCAGTTATTATTATTTCTGACTGTACCAAGTTGTTCATTAAAAAATCTCTTAAATTACTTTAAGTTCTCATTTTGCTTGAGGATCAAACACAATACTCCCCTAAAACAGGGATTGATTATAAATGTTGGGAAGAGACTGAGCGTTATAATAAACATATATAAGTTATACATAAATGAACAAATATGAAATATGCATGTAGGCCAGATGGCCAGATTTATTTGATGCCAAACCTATATGAAGATCCATAGAACAACTCTTAGACATCCAAAAATACAATATCTGAGAAGCAGTTGCCCTATTATAACGAAGAAGAGTAGATGCACACTTCATGCACATGTCTACTTCTATCTAAAATAGTGGTTCTCAACCTTTTTAATGCCGCGATCCCCAACCGGTCGTAAGTCAGGGACTACTCAACCGGACGTAAGTCGAGTACTGCTCAACTGGTGCAGCACCGTTTGCAGAATGGGACTTTTGGCGGGCTCAGCAGGGCAGAGACAGCCTGGACAATTCCTATTGGCTTTTGAAAGCCAATAGAACAAAAGGGAGTAGCACAGCTAAGGAAAAGGGGGGAAAATGGTGGACTGCATTGTTTGGCGACCCCCGTGAAATGGTCGTTCGACCCTAAATGGGGTCCCGACCCACAGGATGAGAACCACTGATCTAAAATAAAATAAACAATGGACAGAGACAGAAACATTCGTGACGATTACAACTAATGTTCCTATTTCAGTTACATTTCTAAACTGAGATTCAGAGAATTGGCTCATGTTTAAAGTAGATCCTGTAAAATCACAGGATAAAACCAGTTTAGTGTTGCAGAGGCTGAGTCCTAGTCCTATTTTGGACACAAAGCCAGCTGGATTTCCTTGATGCTTAGCCCTAAGGAAGCAGGCAATGGCAAATACTTCTGAAAACCTGGTAAGAAAACTGCAGGAACTAGACAAGGAAGTTTCCAGGAGTCAAAATTGACTCGAAGGCACAAATTCATCACCCTCATAACATTAATTATCAGTCTCATCCAAGAGGCAGGATTGTCGGCACCTCTGCAGCCCCTGCATCCTGATCCCTTAGCTAAAAGGGCTCTGCATTTTACAGGTGCAGCGCTTTAAAAACACAGAAACTTTTTTGATCCCCCTACAGGTATCCCATACTGAAAATATTCAGCTTTGGTCGAAAAGGCTTTAGTAACACCAAAGTGAGTGGGACAGAAAAGCTTTTCAGAACATTTACCTTCGCTAATTACTCCCAAGGAGATCATTTCTCCAGGAGGGGATCCTTGGTACCAGTATCTCAGCACAGTAGCAACTGTATGTGCAGGTGCCATTCCTAAACCACGAGCTCGCCAAGAACTTAATGAACTCAACGAAGCCACAAATTCAATTTCCATCCATTCACTGTTAACAAGAAATTACAGCTTTTAAAAAACATAATACAGAAAACAAATGTAAAATGTCCTCTGAGAAGATGAATGTCAATCAAAAAAATTAAATTAGCAGGAGGGGGTCCTGGAGACAAGCTTCTGTGCTGGAGCTCTTCTCCTGTAAAACCAGTTATCCTTAAAAATAAAAATGTACCTTATTATTATATTTAGAAAGTTGTTAAAACATCATTATTCAGGCAGTCATTTTGGTATCAGAGACACAGTAATTGTGGAATTATGGAGTTAACTAAACTAAATATTATGACTTTACAAACTATTGTCATGTGTTTTATTATATTTCTAAGCTATTTAGATTTGCCCAATACAGATATCTGTAACAGAAAATTCAGGAAACAATATCCAGAAACAACTTTGGTAGCAAAATGTGTCTTAAATCCATGAAGTAGAACTTTAAAAGAGCATTAGATTAAAGCTGGACAACCATTTGCCTGAAATGGTATAGGGTTTCCTGCCTGAGCAGAGGGTTGGACTAGAAGACCTCCAAGGTCCCATCCAACTCTGTTATTCTGTATGCTGTAAAGCTGTTAATTGCCAGAGCAACCCATTTATTTACTTTTTAACATGATAACCTTAATTGTTTTAAAGGAAAATATCAAGCTTTAGATAATGATATTCTTTAATAATACAGCATTACACACAGGGTTAGAAATATATCATAGAAATTTTAATCTGTACCAGAGTTCTAGAACTCTGTTGGTAGAAGTAAAGCTATGGGAAGATGCCTAATATCAAAAAAGATTTACATACTTTTACTGCTAATCATTTTGGGTGTTGAACATAAACAAAACTATTGATGTTACAAAGCAATTTTAAATTTAAGTAGACAGCAATCTTAACACTTTAACGTCAGTCTGTCAATCTGTCCATGTTTCTATAATGTTTCAAGAACTACATAATAACAATTTTAAAAATATCAGAAAGAATACCGATCAAATAGCACATCCAACAATGGACGAAAAAAACTTGGTGGGCCCCAGATGGCACTATCATATCTATATAGCTCTGTTTTACTCAGATCAACGAAGCTATTGCCACTGATGTTCCCCCAGACAATGAGGTTTTTTATTCCTGTTGAAGACAACAATGGAGCATTGAAAGAACAGACTAACAAGATGAAAGATTAACCTATTTCAGCACCCTAATTGGCACTAAAATGTCTCAAACCCATATGCAGTCAATAATGGTCCCTGTAACTGTTCCCCAGCATACAGTTCTTCTAATTTGAAGGTGACATGTAGTCAACATGGTCACCAGCATAATAATAACTATCATTTGTGTGGGCTTTATCTGAATCCTTCACATTCTCTTCCCTAAAGCACCAAAATTCCTTTACATTCATGCACAATATTGAACAACTTGCCTTCTGCGTACATCCAATCCCTCAAAATGTACAGCCTTGTGAAATCATACTATTACCATCTAGAATCCATTTATCACCTCATGAATTAGGATCCTTCCATATGCCTTTAGAGAGAATAGAGGATAGCCTGGGAGGGGAACAACACCTCTGCACTTCATTCCCATGGCCCTGACTTCAATTTTCCTGGGAATATGCGGAGAGCCATTTTACAAAAAGACTCAGACTAACTCTTTCCCATCTCCCTAGCGTGTAAGAGGAACAGACATGGACTGATTTGCAAGATTTCGTTATTGTAGACCAGGGGTGTCAAACTGCCGGCCCGTGGGCCGGATGCATCATAGTGAAACTGCGCCCACCCCATTGCTGGCAATGGCAAAAAAGTCCAATACATCACGACATGTCACGTGACGTTGCGAGTTTGACACCCCTGTCAAACTCTAGTCTTCTTATGGAAACTCTTTCCTGATCTGTCTATCTAAGAAAGCCAACATTAATACTGCAAGGCTTCCCAAGTTCCCTTTTCTCCCTCTTATACCCAGGGAGTCAGCAGGAGAGAATTAGGTGGGAATAGTCTAGGTCTCTTCATAACATTCTTCTGGTCTCCGGATTTAACATGTTTCTTTTGCCCTAGTGCAGTGGTTCTCAACCTGTGGGTCGGGACCCCATTTGGGGTTGAATGACCATTTCACGGGGGTCGCCAAACAACGCAGTCCACCATTTTTTTCCCTTTTTCCTTAGCTGTGCTACTCCCTTTTATTCTATTGGTTTTTGAAAGCCAATAGAATAGACTCTCTTGAATAGAGTCTAATTCTATTGGCTTTCAAAAGCCAATAGGAATTGTCCAGGCTGTCTCTGCCCTGCTGAGCCTGCCAAAAGTCCCATTCTGCAAACGATGCTGCACCAGTTGAGTAGTCCTGGACTTACGACCGGTTGAGTAGTCCTCGACTTATGACCAGTTGGGGGTCGCGGCATTAAAAAGGTTGAGAACCACTGCCCTAGTGTTTACCTAATGGCCTCTAGATTCTTTCTTTAAGGTCATCTTTCTGGACCTTTACATACATGCTTTAATTTTCATTTATAGTTTGTCTTTGTTATAGTTTTAAACATGAGACAAAAATAGTCCAAACTAATTCAGTGATTAAGCATTGATCTATAACATACCTGCTGGGTGCATTTGCATTTTTCTTGCTACCATAGCTTTGGCTTCACTTTCCAACAGCATGGCAAGAGTGATAATATTTCTAGGATTTATAGAGGGTGCATATGTCATAAGCATTAATGACTTAAGGTTGGTAAAAGTTTTTCCCATCACAATAATTTTGACATTGCTTTTGGCATTCTGCTCTATCAAAGGGCCATATGTTTTACACTGATTAGTCACTTGGTGGATACAGTGTTCGAGTGTTGGGATTGTTTCCTGTAGGATGTCGTCAAACAAAATGATGATATCAGCATCAAGGAAAATCTCCTCCAGTTCAGTATGTAAAGTGACACTACGAAGGACTGGGGATGCTAAATCTTGGGTCTCCATAACAATACCGTGAAGAATTTCTTTGAAACTACTCCTGTCAAACAAATGAAGGCTTATCTCAGTTTCCATTCCAAATATTTCTCCATTGGTTAATAAAGGGATCAGATGATAGCAGGCAGAACTGCATGCTCTAAGAAAAAAGCAGTAAGGAAAACCATTAGTTCTGAAGCATTTGGTATCCATAGAATTTATTTTTCAGTTCATTGTGGGCAGGTTGATGGTAGTAGTGAAATTTTGCAAAGCAAGTGGCAAGAAAAGGAAACCTAATATATACAATATATTAGTATGTATGTCTATATATTGAAAGGATCTGCGTATTACATACCAAATACCCCGTGTGCTGCTGCTCTTCTGATTTATTCTGTGCTAGCATAAGCATCTGGAATGGGAGGGTGAACTAATTCTGAGAAAAACAATTGCTCTGGTAGAAACTTTCCTTGCAACTATCTGTAAAGTACTTTCCTCCTTTTTTAAAAAAGAGATTTTGAAAGAATATGGGGAGATTTTTATCCTATCTTTCAAATAAAATCAAGCTTTCATGTAGTTTTCTTGGTAACAATATGCAAATTGCTTGCATTGCTTTCTTCCAGCATTTTTTTTTAATTTGTCATTCTAACCCATAGCCTAGAACAGGGGTGTCAAACTGCCGGCCTCTGGGCCAGTTGCATCATGCAGCTCCAGCAATCTGAAAAAAGCCATGATACCTTGCGACACGTCATGTTACACGGCGAGTTTGACACCTGTATGAATTAAAGTTTTTCACTCTGTTGTTTCTTTTTCATCTTCTCACCTATTAAGCCAAATGTGCAAGGGGTTGATAAGACTTTTTAGTTCTTTCTCTTCTGCTTCAATTTCTGTGCAAGTCTGCAAGTTCTCATTAGCTATTAGTAACATCTCTTCAGTCATCATATCTGATGTGATGTTATAGTATTGCTGAAGATTAAAAAGGCTGATCAATAAATATCAATTTATTTCAAATTCTGAAGACCAAAACACATTTGATTACAAAAATATAGAAATAATAACAGAATGGGGAAAGCAATCTAAATTTATGACATTAGGTATTCAAAATGAAGAGGATTTACGTAAATAACATAACGTGGGAAGCAGATTTCAATTTTGCCAGATTTTATTTTCGCCAGACCCTTATTTCTACTACAAAGTCAAGAGCAAAGACATATTCTTGGAGTTTAACAATATGGTGTCTCTGGGCATTTCTTGATCTATGGATTTGTTTTAAATCTAGATATGAACTCACTTCAGAGTTCCCACAAAAAATCTAATGATTCCATGGACATGCATAGAGTTTTACCGGGGGAAGTGCAAAAGTGTTTTCTTTTCTTTCCAGTTTAATCTACAGTTCTGGGATTTTCTGATGGTTTTCCTTTCAAGTCCTAATTCTGCATAGCTTTTCAAGATTGGTCAAGTTGCTACCACCATATTGGCAGTTTACTTCCTCAAAATCCATTCATTATGTACTCATTTTTCTTCATTTCAACATTTTTACATTGTTATTGCTATTTTTAAGTAACTGGAAAACAAAAACTCTTGCTAATCTACTACATATCACCCATTAGTCTAGATCAATAGTTTATAGGGTCCCATGACCAATTATTTTGGTGATTGGCAAGATTCTTCAAAATTATTTTACCTAGTGAATAAAGTTCTACAATTATGTACAGTACTTGTTACAAATATATTGCTGATTGCCAAAACTGATTCATTAGTTTTTCAAATGGAAATTCCTTTTCCATTTACTTTAACAAACTGTTTTATTCCTTTATATTATCTGTTTCAAATGTCCTTCAATGAAGATTCAGATATTTTATCTGAATATTTAAATTCCCATTCACTAATTCCCTAACAATTTTAATTAAGCTGACTGAAGCATTGTGTTGAATCATAGTTATATATACTGTGTACTGAAATTTGGTCAGTCTGAAAACAAATAAAAACAGATTGATGAGAAAAGAAAAGAAGCTAGCAGAAAAATCAATATGCAACAAGTCAATATGCAAATTTTTACCTGTGCATGTTCTAGAAAATCATTGAATCCCCCTAGAAGAAGGCCCCTTCCACCACGGTCCAACAGTTCTCTCCAAATAATTGGGGAGCGTTTGTGTTTCCAGCCATTCTCATTACAGATCTCCTGAAGCCACTTCTAAGGATAAATGCCCTCAAATTAAGCATATCATGCAATGGTAATATGTATAAATCCATAGATGGCTTTCACTGCCATGTTGAAATAACCATCCTTACATTTCGTACAATTATCCAAACATTCTCCCTTCATACAGAACAAGAGGCTAATATGAAAAGTATATTTCTGAATAGAAGCTATGAAAGTGGATACTTCCATTTGGATGGAAGAGAGCTCACATACTACCAAAGCAACTTGCCCACCTTGTAATATTTGGTACCCATATTTGAACGCTCAAAGTCAGCTCAGTCTGCAGATGAAACACACTCACCATTTTTTATTTACATAATTATGAAGTGGGAGGAGACTTTTTCATCATTTGGTCCAAGCAAAACAGATGAAGCTTTTGTGTATCATCAATGCCACTTTGATCCATCAATAAATATTAAAGTCATAAAAAGCTATTGTAGATTTCCTAAACTATATGCCCCAAACCATCATACATTTGATATATGTTACAAATAACCAAACTCAAAGGCTAGCAGAGTTCATTAGCTTTCTTCATCACTGTTTCCATGTAATTATTTTATGCACTGTACATTTATCCCATTTCTCTCTTCTGCTACCTGTAAAGATACTTCTGATGGTTAATGGATTCCAAAAGTAGAGAAGCTCCTCACTAGTGAACCAGACTGAAATAATTTTACCTCCCAGTTGTCGGGATGTTGAACAATCTTGTGTATCCTGAAGTTAGGCAAATTGTTCCCCAGATAGTCAGCAAGGAGTTCTGCCTTAGCATAGTAGGGACAATCTGCTCTACCTGGAAATTAAGTAGTTAATAAGAATTGTACATTTACAAACATGTGATTTCTTTACTGGATTTACTGTATATCCCAGCTTTCATTCAAGAGCCCAAGATAGTGCTGCTGCTTCCTATTTTTCCCCACAGTAACCATCCAGTGGGAGAGATTGGGCTGAAAGAGAATGACTGATCCAAAGTCATGAGAAACTTCTATGGCTGAGGATGGATTAGAACTTGGGTCATCCACATCCTAATCCCAAACCTTGACCAATGCAGAGCCCTAGAAATGTTGAAGTAATTTGATATTAAAAATTAAAGAGCATCAGAGTGTAATGATGATCAAACTACAATACATTATTTCACATAAACAATATTTGTACACAGCTTTGATAGATTTTATTGAAATAATTTATAAAATAGCACTTGGATTGCTTAGACAATTCGTGGAATTCATTTTAGTTTGATTTTGCAGCCCTCGGTTGATTAGAAGACATTGAAAACAAAGCAGAAAATAGGCTAAAATTAGTTTATAAATTGCTCCTACAGCAAAAAATTCAGAAGACTGGAAATAAAGATTTAAATGTTTATGTCTCTCTTTGCTGCTATGTAGCAGTTGAATGGATTGTGCTGCCCAGATATAGCAGGCCTAATATTGTACAATGTTTCTCACACAGAAGGTATGACTGGGTCCACACTGTTAAGCCATGATTTGTTTAATCAAGATTTACTGAATAATCCACAACAGACTGAATTCATACATTAAATCATTTCAATGGCTGGTTCATACGACCCTGAATGCTACAACCCAAATTAGATTTTAAGCCTGAACCCCTAATTTGGTTTTTTTAAAATTACTTTGTCTTGGGCTTCCAGTTTTGATGTCACAGTGGAACGGACATAGGAAGACAGTGCTCTGTCTTTTGCATTCGTTTTTTCCCCGCTGGGGACCCCAGAAAGGATCGAAAGTCACCCCGTAGAGGCAACAAGCAAGGAGGGAACTCTCGTTTGATCACGGGAGGGTGGCGGCCCTTCTGTTTGATCCAAGGAAGCCCTCCAAACTGGTGGGGAAAAGACTGGCTACATTCAAGCAACTTTACAGCAATGTGGATGAAACTAGGTGAGACTCTATTCTCTCTTTAAGGCTTTAAGACCTCTTCCTGAAAAAAACTGCCCGAGGCACCCTCCCCGATGAGGGAAGGGGAATTTCTACCCCATTCTCTCAGGAAAAGAAAAGCGGCAAATTAATTACTTGAGAAAAACAGAGAAAATTACAAGTTTAATTTGGAATTAATAAACATTTATGCAGTGCTTTTTTTCAAAAAAAAAAAAAAGGTGCTGGAACTCACACACGTCATACAACCTGCCTTGCCTACCCTACAAGGTTCCATCCCAAAAAGGTTCCAGAACTCCATTCTGGGCGTTCTATGAGAAAAAAAGGTCTGCATTTATGGCTTTAAATTTAGGGACTAAAAGTACTTTTGAGACTTTTTTTTTAATAAAAGAGATTTGAAAACTGTACATTATATGTTGAGCTTTAAAAAGCTGGAAAATGGCGCTAATGACATCTAGTGATGAATTACGGCACTACAATTTGTCTAAAGGAAACTTGGCTTGAAACTCAGATTTAGATAAGACTTTTGCTGACCTTGGAAGCTTCCAGTTTTGAAGATTGCAGCTGGGAAAAGGGAAAAATATAAGAACTTTTGGGCTTCTTATTGATGTGGCAGAGACAACGAACTATTTTGAAACTGGCTTGCCTGAACTATGAATATAAATATTATCTGACTTTCAGAGCTGTGTTGTGGAACTATTTCCCTGCAGGAGAAATACACTTCATTGTTTGAGATGATGGAATATTTTGGATTACAAATCCTTGATTGATGAATACTTTTTATTATAAAGACCACCTACAAAAAATGAAATGGATGTCCCATACTCAACTTGAAATGATAAAAAACCATTTCTTACACCTGTTCCTAAAGGCTTCAGTTTGACATACTATCAAAAAAAAAATGGATGAAGATCAGAAAGAAATTCTCTCCATGATAAAATCAATACTATTGCTTTAGCTCATGATGAGACTAGAAATAACACAAAGGAGATAAAAGAACATTTTTCTAATCTAAATTTACAAACTCAGAATATGACTACAAAGAAGGAACTAGCAACCCGGAAAACTAGAGCAAATCCAAAGATGGAGGACCTAAAGGAAGAAACCAACCGACAGATTCAGACAACTGAAGAACTAGAAGATGAAGCGATATCGGAAATGGAAAAGACATCTTACCAATTAAGAACTCAGGGTACATGCAAGGAAAAGGAAGAAGAACTGATTGAATGGAAGATGGAGCTGTTAGGAGAATTGTGCGGAATTGGAGAAAGAGAGAAGTTGTTTAATGAATATCAATGGGTTCATTTTTCCAAAAATACTTTAATCAAATGTTCTTTCTTATTCCAAATAATATACACAAAACAGAGGAAAAATTACTTGATGATTGAAATGCATTGACTTGGAAAGTTAGTTGACAAAGGAAGAAAGCTAGAGTAAGACTAAAGAAAATAGAGATTTTTGATCTATTAGATGGAATATTATATTATTAACGATGTTTGAATATGGTGGAGAATAGATAATTGCTAGAAATAGAAGTATTATTATAACTAGAAAGATAAGATTTGCAACTAGAATAGTAGATTTTGGTATAAGAAGGGAAACAGGAAAACGCTAAGAAGTTTGAATAAGAGAAGCTTTTGGTCACCCAAACATAACTTATTTTGAAATTATAAACAATAGAAACATTTTGAACACTGATGGGAAATTAAAATTAAAAAAAAGCAAAAACAGGATACTGACTGAACATATGGATATTAAGTGCAAATGCAATTAAGATATGTTTTGGTTAGAAAAGCAATTTAAAACTGATGTTATTGATATTATGAGAAAAATGTAACAAATATGTTGATATTCAATTGTATATTTACAAATTACAATAAGAATTGTATTTGCCTAGTGTGGGAAACATTTGATGGTACAAATATTGGATCCAGATTGAAGAAGTTAATATATACTACTGAATTATTAATGGACCCAGACAATGCATTGTCTATTAAATACTTGATTGTAAAAATAGAAAATTTATAAAAATTTATAAAAAAAATATTTCGTTTTGGTAAATTACTTTGTCTTAGGTAGGACCCCACTCAATTAATATTGCTTTGCACTATCTATTTATGGATTTGGGTTTTACCCTTAAATTTGACAAGTCTCTTGGAGGCTTACAAATACAATGAAAAATAATAATAAAAAAATCTAGTTTGATATAGTGATTAAGGCAGGAGACAGCGAGTTCTAGTCCCACCTTAGGCAAAAACCCAACTGGGTGACTTTGGGCCAGTCACTCTCTCTCAGCCCTAGAAAGGAGGCAATGACAAACCACTCCTGAAAACTTGCCAAGAAAGCTGCAGGGACTTTAGGCAATCTCTGAGAGTCGAACATGGCTGAATGGAAGGGAAAAAAAATATTTTATCGTAAATAAAAACTACTCGATTATTCTCGCCTTGCACTATCTGTGTTGCAGATACTTATAGTATCCGCACGCTGCCCCCATCAGTCTGGGCGGTCTACAAAGAAGCATGAAACCATCAGGAATTCAAGGGAGGAAAGGCGACGCCAATTTAGTCCAAACGTATTCAATCATCCCCAACCAACGAAGGTGTGTAAGAGTCGCCCTGGAGGGGTTTCCCCTTCACCTGCCAGCACGAACTTCGCCATTAACCATGAGCCGCAGCCAAAAACCCTCTAATCTGAGGCGCTGTGGAGGGTTGCCTAGCAACTACGTAGGCGCGCACAGTCCGACGGGAAGCGAAACCGTGAGGCCTAGGCGACTGACTTATTTTGTCTACTTCAAGCAACCGTACCTCGAGGAAGGTGTCATCCCTTCGCGTCGCATGTGAATTTGCGTCACCCTGCTTCTTGGTTTGAGCGTCTGGCGCAGAGAGGCAAGTAAGTGGAACGGAGCGCTGGGAAAGTCTGGCAGGTTGGAGAAGACGCAGCTCCCTCAATCAACCAAGGAACAAGCAGGAAACCAAGAACGCGGAGGAACAAGGGGTTTGAGAGCCAGGAGGGCGGCGGCGTGGCAAAGGCGCCTTAGCCTTTTCTCGCGTGCAGGCCACGCTCCTTGGTGCAATTCTCAGCACTGGAAAAGTTGCGTGGATTTGAGAATAGTTTCAGTATATTTCTTTTCTAATAGCGGTCGACCACAGACGGCTGAGAATTCAGTGAGGAGAGAGTTGCTTCTATTGGTCCCTTATCCCCTAGTTTATATTCCTAGATTTTCATAGCCTTAACTTCTGGCTGTGAACTCCGAAGCTTAGTATTGAACAGTAGACAATTTTGTTTTGCCTTTCTTTCTCGATTATTGTTTAATACCTTGGGAAGCTTCCAGTTTTCTGAGAACCGAACCTGTTTACTTGCTATTGTAATTCTTTTTTTATTATTATTATTAAAAAGTTTTTATTTTCCATTTATTCATACAAAATACAATTAAATTCCTAACCATTGGTACCGCCTGCCCATTCCCCCCAGGCTGCGTCCACCCTCTCTAATCCTTCCCCACTTCCCTCCTCTTTCTCTCCTCCCCTCCTACTCTCTTTCCCTCCCCTTCTCCTCTAACCATCCTACTTCCTCCCTACTCCTTCCTCCCCTCTCATCCCTCTCACACACATGAATGCAGCGTAGGGGAAATGCCCAAGCGTTTACCATGACTATATTATCATTACCCACCCTCAACCCTCCCCCCCTCGCTTCCCAGAGCAGAGTACAGGGTTATTAATAAGAAAGTTAACAATAATTAAAAAAAGAAAAAAGAGGAAAAAAATCATACTTAACCTTTAACTCCTCTTAAATTAAGTCATATAAACAAGTCTCTAAACAGTTACTATAAAATTTACCCCTAAAATAAATGAAACTTTATAGTCCCATATTTTTTCTGAATATAATCTATCCATCTTCTCCATACAATAATATAACTTTCTTGTGTATGATCCTTCAAATAAGCAGAAATTTTTGCCATTTCTGCAAAGTTAGAAACTTTAAATATCCATTCTTCTAAAGTAGGCAACGAGTCCTTCTTCCAATACGAGCCTACTAATAACCTTGCTGCAGTTAATAAATTCAACATTAAAGTAGTTTCTTTGTCATTTAAATCCACAAAGATACCCAATAGGAATAATTGAGGGGTGAACTTTATCTTCCTTTTAAAAATCTTTTGAATGTTCCACCAAATCATAATCCAAAAAGCCTTTACCTTTTTACAATTCCACCAAACATGAAAATATGTCGCATCCATATTACCACATCTCCAACATTTGGGTTGTAAATTTGGATACATACAAGATAATTTTTTAGGATCTAAATGCCATCTGTAAAACATTTTATAAAAATTTTCCCTCAAATTTTGAGCTTGTGTAAATTAACATTTCTAATCCAAATTGTCTCCCATAAGTCCAATGGGATCGGATCCTGGATATTCTGAGCCCATTTAATCATACAGTCTTTAACCAATTCTGTTTCAGAGTCTAATTCTATTAAAGCATTGTAAATTCTTTTTATATGGGCCTGACTCTGATCTTTAATCTGAATAACCAGATTTCCATCTTCTAATGTTATTTCTTCTTTTTTATCTACAGTCCACCTGTCCACTATTTGTAAATATTGAAACCATGACTGTAGAATATTTTCTTGCCTTAATACATCTAGAGATTTTAAATGCCAATCCGAACCTGACCAAGTTAATAATTCTTTATACGAAATTTTATCAAAATTCATCCCCTTAGAAATCCCCTCAATTGCATGTCTAGGAATGCCCCAGATAGGTATTTTATAATTTAACCTATAATAATATTTTTTCCAAACTCGAAGTAAGGCACTCCTCAAAATATGTGATTTGAAAGCCCGGTCCACTTTCTTATTAAAATTAAATATGCATGCCAACCATACATTAAATCTCACCCTTCAAGAACAAGAATATCCTTATTTGTTAAATTAAGCCAATCACTTATCCAAGTTAAGGCGGCTGCATCATAGTATAATTTCAAGTTAGATGCTTTAAGTCCTCTTCTTTCTCGGGCATCTTGCAAAATCTTAAACTTAACCCTTGGTTTTTTCCCAGCCCAAATGAATTTATTGATACCCTTCTGCCATTCCTCCAAATTTACATCTTTTTTTAAAATAGGTATCATCTGAAACAAGAAAAGAAACTTTGGTAGAACATTTATTTTTACAGCTGAAATTCTCCCCAACAATGACAATTGCAGTTTTTTCCAGTCATTTAAATCCTTTTGCACTTTTGCCCATAGTAATTCATAATTATTTTTATACAATTTTCCATTTGACGCAGTTAAATATACTCCCAGATATTTAACCTTTTTCACCATCTGAAAACCTGTGGCTTTAACCAAACTTTCCTTGTCATTGGCTAACATATTCTTAGATAATATCTTAGTCTTATGGTTATTAACTTTAAAACCAGAAACTTTTCCATACTGTGACAATCAACCGCTCTAATCGGTTCTTCCAAAATCAAAACCAAATCATCCGCAAAAGCCCGTAATTTATACTCATTTTTTCTTATCTTTATGCCCTTGATTTCCGTTGATTCTCGAATCTGGATCAACAAAATCTCCAATGTCAAAACAAATAACAATGGAGATAATGGACATCCTTGTCTTGTCCCTTTTTCAATATTAAAAGTCTCAGTCAATCCCCCATTAACAACAATTTGAGCAGATTGTTGCCAATATATAGCTTTAAGTGCATGTAAAAAATTATCCCCAAAATTCATTTTTTCTACCAATGAAAATAAGAATTGCCAATCTAATTGATCAAAGGCTTTTTCAGCATCCAAAAATATAAAAGCCACAGGAATCTGATTGTTCTTGCTATTGTAATTCTTGTGTGGGCAAATGTACAAAATTGGAGGAGTGAATTAAAATGTATTTAAAAAAAAAAAAAAACACTCCTAAACTAGTAATCTTTTATTTTAAAATTAACTTATGAGACTTTTTTTAAAAAAAAAAACATTTAATCAAGCAAGAAAATCTCTTCATTTTCTTTGTCTACAGTAGTTTATTCAAGAAGTTTAGCAACTGAGACAAAATTGAACACTTAGAGGCCAAACTAAATTTAATATTTTGGATAGCTTTCAGAAATTGCAGTCACATTTACTTAAAGTGCAAAGCCAACCTAATTACTGTACTAAATTTAAGTGTTCAGTTTTGTCTCATTTGGGAAATTTTGGCCCAAGTTGGTTCAGTCTTGCAGTACTCAGTCCTCTCATTTTTATTTTAGATTTAGTTAGGCTATCACTTCATTTGGAAAACAGATGACTGTACTAACTGCAGCAAAAAAAAAACAAAAAACCAAAACATCTTAAACTGATTGCAGTTGATCTCATGTACTGTACTGATTAATGAATTCATTTAACAAGTTAACAGCTCTGTTCTGGTTTTCTTTTTTAGGTTCAAATACGTTTTTCTAAGTAAGATATCGTAAAGAGACAGCAAGATGAACAGGAAAGTGGAGTATTTTATAAGGTCAATAAGAAGGCTACAGGCATGTCACAATGCAGGGAGATCTTTTCCTAGAAATGAAATCAAAACAACTGCATTTGGGATTAATGGTTATAAAAGTTCTGCACAAAGTATTCAATGTCCATTGTATGTTCCTTCTTGCTGGCTTCATTCTTCTATTTCAATTAGTTCTCAAAATACTTTTCTTTATGCTGGGAGCAGTGATGCAAATAAACAGGAAATAACTAATGATCTTGGCCATAAAGAGAAGTTTAAACCTGCTCAAGTGAACTTATCAGAGGAAGCTAGAAATACCATTGAAAAAAAGGATGAATTTGACATTTCCAAGGAATTTTTCAATGACCTTCAAAAATGTGTATCTCCTTGTGATGTACTAAACCTTACTGCAAGAAGTCTAATCTTTTCAAAATATATCAGTAGCTGTTTTTCAACTATGTGGACACTTAAAAAAAATACAGTCAAGAGTCAGAACTATGATGAGACAAAGACGATGCTTGAACACCCTCAGTTTCAACAGCTCTGCCAGTGTGTGATGGATGAAGCTAAGTACATGTATAGCAATGATTTGGCACACACTCTACTTTCTGTGGTAAAATTAGGAGTTCCACAAAATACCTTGTTAGTTCAGACATTACTGAGGACTTGCCAGGTAAGCAAAACAAACAACAACAAAAAACAATCTAGACAAAATTTAAGGATGTTTTAAAATAAGGAACAGTTCTGGCTTAAACAGTTAAATTTGTTATTTAGTATGTCTCAATTTATATATTCTTTTGTCTTTAAAAAATAACCTAAGACATTTCAGTTTTATCATCTACGCGTTGAATCTACTATTAATCTATGATCATGGGCGCTCCGTCACGAGATTTTTAAGAAGAGGCTAGATAGTCACTTGTCTGAGATGGTATAGGTTCTCCTGCTTGAGCAGGGGCTGGACTAGAATACCTCCAAGGTCCTATCCTGTTCTATTCTACTCCAGTCTACTCTACTCTATTCTACTCTACTCTCTACTCTATTCTATTCTATTCGTCTGTACTCCATCTGAAAATGGAACTGAATTTAGGACTTATTTCCAAATTGATATGCATCTCTGAGCAGATGCCTCACTTAGTCAATCAGAATTGGAACTAGTTTGTACCCAGGAATTTTTCAGAAACTATCAGACCAGGAATCTAGACTAGAAAGATTATTTTTAAAGAATAAAGTCCCAGAAAAATGTTGAATTTTGGGCAGCCCTAGGTACTCTGTAGGTGGGTGAATAAGAAGATACGAAAGGTTGAAGGGAGCTTCCTTATGTTTTGATGTCTTTATGACAGCTGATAAACAGCAAAAATCGCAGAACCCTTTTACTTGGACTCAAGCAGTCATTCATTGCAGGTGCCTAAGAGACATTTTTACAGTGGAAGAGCAGCTGATTTGGTTAGCTAGCACATGTAAGCATGGGTGATAATTTAGCATGTCTGAACTACCCTGTAGTACATGAGTGAGCAAAATTGTTAATTGAAGATAATCGAGGATAACATGCTTCCTTTAGCCCAGTTTCAAAATGAGCTGTATGCACGAGATTTGGTAGACTGGAAAGAACTTTCTCTCCTATTCCTTACTTGTTTATCTCTGGCCTTACTTACTACTTCTTTCAGCCTGCCTACAATGCAACCCAAAACCCCATTCCCTATCACTGAGGGAATGGGGACCTTAACAAAAGTTGGCTTACCCTATTACAATATATTAAGCACTGGGGTTAAATTTCCTGGACTGGCTGTATATTTCTTCTGTATCTGAGACAAAGGGAAAAGAAAAAGCTATTGGGCAATCTCATTTTTAAAAATAATCTCATTGACATTAATAAGATTAAAATGAACTATTCAAAGTCATTTAAACTGATCTACAGTGTGACTATGAATCCAAATGTCCCTCTTAAGTTCTCAATACTTTATTGCTTTAAGTCAGGGGTGTCAAACTGCCGGCCTACAGGCCGGATGCATCACGCAGAAGCTGCGCCCACCCCAGCTCCGGTAAGGGGGAAAAAGTTGCGATATGTCATGACACGTCACGTGACGCGGCAAATTTGACATCCCTGCTTTAAATCATCCATGTTATTTGTAGTGAGCAATGGTTTCATTTAGCTTGAAAGAGTCAGAGAAAAAGGGAACAGAGTTCCAGAAATATCTCTCTCATCACTGTCTTCAGTAGCGTAGCCGGGTGGGAATGGTTAGCAGCAGTGAGTAACACAGTTGGGATTGCCACTTTTATTAGCTCCATGGACATTATCCCTTTCCCTGTATGGCATTTCGGCAGAGCAGCCAAATGCTGATTCTGCTCCCAGCTTTCTGGTTTATAGCTAGGAAAGAAATGAAAACTCCTTTGCGCTACCGCCATACTGCACGGAACCCTATATTGAGCAGGGCTGTGCTGTGGAACACTTGTTCTTTTTTAACATTAGAGAAACTAACTGAGAGAATGAGAATGCTCACTGTACAATTAATAAAGCACTTATAAAGGTGGTACTGTACATTGTGGCTCTTTCCCCATAACCTCATCCCGCTAGGACAAGCCCATCTTACTTGTGCTAGCAGAGAGGGCCCTACTTCAGATCCCCTTGGTCAAAGAACTCCGACTGCCAGGATCCAGAAGCAGAGCCTTCTCTGCTGCAGTGCTTGCCCTTTTACCCTCTATGATCTGCTCCTGCCCTCCTATCACTCTTCAGAAGACTTGGCGCTGCCAGTTGGCCTGGGCACCGAATGGAGGAGTTCCACGCTGGAGGTGGCTGCTGAGTTGATGGCAGAAGCCACCTCCCCTCTTGCTCTCTGCTCTCCGCCCGTCCATCTTTTTGTTATCGTATTGATATATTCTCAAGTTCTGTCATTTTTTTTTTTCAATTTTCTTTTTATTATTTTAAACTGCCTAGAATAGCCCCCTGGCAAGAGAGCAAGCAAATGAATTTAATTAATTAATTAAACAAACAAGTAAATAGGAGTAGGCTTTTAATTTGTTAATTTTTCCTCTGGCCTATGATTTTATGTTTCCATGAAAATCTTCTAAAATGACTTTCGAATCTTTCAATAGGAACGTATCAATGAATTTAATGATCAAAGTGTCTCAATTATTGCAAACACTTTGAAAGGCATGGAAAAATGCAAGAACGTGGAAGCTCTTCAACTTGGACTACAGTAAGAAAAGACTTTAATTAAGTTTGTACATTGGTACTTACCAGTTTTGGGGCACGCGAGTGGGAGAAGTTTCTTCCTAGTTAAATAGTTGTAGCTTATTCCAGATTATATCTGAACCCAAATATCTTGAGCTTAGTCTTAATTCCAGTTCAAATTATAGGTTTTAGTAAACTTTAATTAAGACTAATCATAGTTTAATATTCCGATGAAGCACTCATCAGATTTTTATTGGAATTAGGAATATTTTTCTCCTTGTGATAAGCAAGAGGAAAGGGAATTGGTGGCAGAGGTAGTACCTGAGGTTGAATTTAGTGATGCATCCAAATGTGTCCATAACTAAAAGGAACAAGAGTTTAGAACTGTGAATTTAAATTGATTAAATAGCCAATAGGATATTAGAAAATTAAATTATACAGGTTAAATATGAATTGAAACTTTGTGTAAAATTGCTTCAGAATATAAAATGGAATATAAAGGAAATGTATGCATTTATTTAGCAGCAAGCCACATTAAGCTAATGGGCAATTATTGACAAATATACATAAGATCAATTTTTACTTTCTTAGACCAAATTCAACATACCATGATTCTGACTAAGATATAAATGAAGAATTTAACAGGATACTTTTCAGTTTATATTATATTAATCTCTGGTGTAGTTCCTGAGAAATTTTAGTGTCCATATCCAGGCTATCCACTGTTATTTGTTTCTGGATATTTGTTTATCCCATTTTTAATTTTTTTCAATAATAAAGGCATCTTATAATATTAGAGAGCATATCTATATCTGTCTGTCTATTATCTATTGCATACCACTAACATCAGAATTGAAATTGTCATAAAAATGAATGAATAATTAAAGGTTTGGTGGAAAAGCTGTATTTTTAATCTTCCTAAGTATTGGCTGAGTGGAGATCAAATACATCTCCTTAGGGTGCCCATTCCACAGCCTGGGGCCCATGCAAAAGAAGGCCTTCCTGACCTACTAGATAATAAAATTCTATTAAAATCTGATCTGAAGAGGTTTTTTTCTACTGATCAAAGAAGGCATGTTCATAGTCGGACATGTAGTTCTCAGTATAGTCTGGCACTAACTAAAGCGTTAAGCACTTGAAGGTCAATGCCAAACAACTTGAATTAGGTCAGAAAACCAACCATTAGCCAGTGCAGTTCTTTCAATATGGATCTTATGGATTATATGATCTGTGCAACATTTTGCATCAGTTGCAAATTCTGGCATTTTTTGAGGGTACATATATCTCATATATACCGGATTGCAGTATAAGTAGTTCTTCATTTATGACCACAGTTGAGACTGGAATCTCAATTGTTGAGCAAAGCTGTTGTTAAACAAGATGTCCATGTAATCATTTTGCTCAACAACTGTAATCCTGGCACTCCCGGTTGTGGTTCTTAAGTGATCACAGAGCTCATTAAGTGGACAGAATCCCAGGTAAGTGTGGGATGCCTGAGGGGGGGGGGTCTCTGGGAGGCTCTATGTAGGAGCTGAAAGTCTCTCTGGCAAAATGCAGTCAGGGTTTTCAGCTCCTAGGTCAGTGATGGCAAACCTTTTAGAGACCGAGTGCCCAAAAACTGGCCCCGCCCCTGCTCCATCTCCCTGCTCCGCCCCCCATCCCCCACCCCACCTGCCCACAAGACCACTCACTGCCTCCAGGGCCCACCAGCAGCGCTATGGCGGCCACACCCTCTGCCCGTATCCTGCAGCATCAACTGCATGATGGAGTGTGAGGGCACACTGCCTGGCTGCCATGTCCTTGGCTGCACTGCTCCATGTGGGCCACGCTCGATGGCGACTCTCCTTCAGGGGGGCTGCTGGAGAGGAGGGGGTCGTGGGGGAAGACAAGGCTGGAGCAATGGCACGTGTGCCCACAGAGAGGGCTCCGAGTGCCGCCTCTGGCACCCGTGCCATAGGTTCGCCACCACTGTCCTAGGTGGAGAGATATTCGCACACAGCCTGCACCGGGCCTCCCCAACCTCCCTTAAAGCACCTTGCACTTCTTTTCTTACCACCCTGCCTCTCCACTCAGGAGCTGAAAATCCTGTGACAGAAGGCAGCTTCCTTGGTCCCACAAGATGACATTTTTAATGGAGTGCATCACTGGCTGAATACATTGGAACAAGGAAAAAGATGGACACTGGAACTGAGTTAAGGCTTGTGCTGGATCTGATTGCACTCCTCAGCAAGGTGGTGTTTAAAAGTGCTCCTCGATCTCCAGTTGTCACAAGAGTTTAGAAGTGCCAGCTGTAGTGAGAATTTGCAACAATTAGAGCCAGTACCTCAAATGTAACTCTTCCTGAGCCAACTGGACTTAGCAATTGTTACCTGTGCCATGGTTATAACCCATGTAACTGCAGGTAGTCCTCAAATTACATTTTTTAAAAACAATTTTTGGAATCGGAACAAAGATACTTGACCTTACATCTGAAAGTACACTATTCCAGATGTGGGTGACTGCTACAGTGAAGATTTGTGTATTGGGGATTGTGATAATATATTCCTTTCCTTCTGGACCTTAACAAGGGAGGAAAGATCTTCTCAGAAAATCACCTTGTCCAGGAATGAAATATGTGAGAGATCAAAGCAATGTAAGGATGTCTCAGAATAATTATTAAAGACCCAGCACATATTTCAGGACATGTTAATGATCTGGTTTTGAGCATAAGATAGATTAGTAGTAAATTCATAGTTGATAGTGTTTCAATTCTCTTGTTAGGATGAAGGATCAATTTACATGATCTGTCCTTGGCAGCTAATAGAATCCAAGGAATTTCTAAATGCTTGTAGAGGGCTTTTTTTCTATAGTGGTTGGTAGTGTTGGTAGTTTTAGACTAGAAGTTAAAATGAGAGGGCTATTGATAGTATCTGGAATGCCAGTATCAGTTGTGAAGATCCTGGAAAGCATATTGATTTACCAAGCAGCTATAGGTGATGCAGCTAACTAATATATGATTAGGATATAGGTGATGTAAATCTTTCCATGAGTTTAACCAACTGTAGGTCAAAATACATAATCCTCTCTGCCTAATACCACCCAGCTCATGCTTTCGGATCAGCTTCAAGAGCTTCCTTGTGGATCTAACACTGGATTTTGTTTATAGTTCATTGGCAAGCAGTAAATCCTTCTGAGTGACAACTGGTTATCCTGATGTCTTCATAAAATAATTAGAGATTGTTGTTTATCCAGACCTTTAAAATACTTACTGTTTTATTTCTGTTGTTTAAAAGAATGAAGTTTTAATTTTGATTTTTTTAAAAACATTCTTGATTTTACTATAAAGTGCAATTGGCTCCTCTGAAAGGAAGATTAGAATATAAATAGTTATTTTTTTCTCCCATGCCCTCCTTTTTTGCTCAAGTAGAGCTTAATGGAAAAGTTTCAGATTTGAAAATACTTTAGCATAGCTTCCGACTTGGGAAGAATTAAGGAAACAGGTGAAGGTGGCAAAATTATTCCAGTGATTTAAATTAGATTTGAAACAGTTCATGGATTTTCCTTGGCCCAAATAATTTCAGAGGCTCAATAAAAAAAAGATTAGAAATTTAAAATATACAGACAGTATATATAACTTTGTGAAAAAGTACTTACTGCTGTTTATATTTCTTAAACTTGTGTATATCTTCGCAATTAAATATCAGAGATTCATGTGGGACAAAATACTATCAGACTGAAAACTAATACCACAGTTGGTATTTATTTCATAATGTTTAGTGACAATATTTTAAAAATCCAAAACATAAATACTTTCCCCAAAACTCTAGCAGGCATATTAACTCTATAGAACTTTCACGGAATGAAAAATGAAATCATACTTGTCTAAACCAGGCATATGACACAAAGGTAATTGAATGAAATATATGACACTGGCAACTTATCTAAGTGTGACAAACAGACAGGTTTAGGAGACGCTATGGAAATTTCCAATCCACAATTGTGTGTAATAAGTCTCCAAAATTAGCTGTACTTTTAATTTAATTTTCCTAATGCTTAAAATGTATTTCGTTTCAATTAGAAGATGTATAATGTCAGTCTGTGTGTGTGTGTGTGTACGTGCACACATACAATGATACCTGCTCCATTCGTTTATGTCCATTACATATTCTTTTTCTGAGTTTTTTTTTCTTAATAGGTTACTTTTACAAGAAAAAGTCCACAAAATATCAAACTTGTTTGTGTTGCAAACCATCATGCGCAGTATCGGGAAGGATGTACCACTGACGCTTAAGAGAAGTTTGGAGGTAAAAAATGGATACTGTTCTTTCATCTGTGTTTTCAATTATTGCATTAAGTTTGTATAAATATACATGCAGGTATCATTGCTTTTGTCATCACAGAGGAAAAATTCATTTATTTTAAGAGCTACGAATGTAAGGATCATGGAATATAGTCAAGGGCCTGATTAACTACCTATCTTTGATTATTTCTGCCTTTCCAGAAAAATCAGGTATGCAAGAGGTGTTCCAGGTCTCCAGGTATTGCTCTATCAAGAAATCTGTCTTTGTCATAGCACCTGTTCTCTAGAACAGCATTCCCACCCCGCCCCACCCCCCAAATCTGTAATGGTTCCCACACGGATAATTTTCCAGAAGTCTTTCAACACTTAGCTATTCTCTCTGGCCTTAAAACAGGGTGGTTGTTGAATCCTACAGTTTTCTTGTTTTACTTAATATTTATGGTCATCATGATCTGTTTTTCTATTTTATTTCTTACTTTTTTTGTAAGCTGCCCAGACTGGGTTTGAACTAGGTTGGCCTCTATATAAATAAATATTAAGTATTAAATCCTTACAGTTGTGGTACAACAGAAGTGATTTCTTTATTTCTGTGTTCTGTTTTTACAAGAACTTTGATAGAAGACATGTATTTTCATTTATTTGATTTATCTACAATAATTAATACATACATACATACATACATACATACATACATACATACATACATACTCCTCACATCCTGGACATAAAGTATTTCAACTTCTTCCTTCAAGACGATGCTATAGGGCATTGCACACCAGAACAATTAGACACAAGGACAGTTTTTCCCCCCATGCCGTCACTCTGCTTAAGAACTAATTCCTACAACACTGTCAAAATACTTAGTAAAGCTGTATTACTATGATACTCCTCATCTTTCCTATTACCTATCCTTATCTTCTTATGACTATAACTTTGCTGCTTGTATCTAACAAATTATATTGTGGTTTTTTGTACCCTAGTATGATTTATGTCAGGAGTGTCAAACTCAATTTTACTGAGGGCCGCATCAGCATTGCGGTTGCCCTGGGGGGGGGGGGCGGGTGGATGTGGCCAGAGTGGGTGCAGCCTACTGGGTGGGCATGGATGGAGTGGGTGTGGCCTACTGGGTGGGCATAGCCAGTTCTATATCATTCGTATCAAGGGTGCCTATGGGGGGCTGGGCAGGAGTGGGACAGATCTGAAGGTCTCTGGCAGAAGGGGGTGGGACCGGGGCAAGTGCCAAGATGGCCACCACAAATTTGTACATTGGCTCCCAGCTGGCTAGGGCCAAGGCAGCGGGGCCCATTCCCTCATTGTTTCCAGGATGGCTTTGCGGACCACATGAAACCACTTCGCGGCCACATCTGGCCCCCGGGCCTTGTGTTTGATATGTCTGATTTATGTTGTTTGCTTAGCTAGTATTCTCTGACTATCACTAAGTGTTGCATCTTATGATTTATGATGAAGTGTTGTATTTCATGATTTGTGATTAATGTATTTTCATGTTGTATATGATCATGACTATCACCATTACTTGTATGTACACTGAGAGCTTATGCATTGGAAACAAATTCCTTGTGTTTCCAACCACACTTGGCCAATAAAGAATTCTATTCTCTTCTGTTCTGTTCCTGCCCATTTCATCACAGCAACACCAGGTGGATAAATATATATAAAAACATAATACAAATAAGCATCAAATAACAGCATGAGTAGGTTTAAAGACAAACAGGCTAAAACAACATAATTATGAAATCACCATAACTGTATAGAAAGTTAGAAATGAAAAATAAGTATTCAGGTGTAAATGGCTAATTTTAAACCCCCCAAAATATGAAGTTGTTGACTACTTTTTACTTGAAATCTTCAAAGTAAAAGTAGGAGAAATATATTTGTTAACTCTCTGTGACAACAAACAATAATCTTATAATCCTTCTCTTGTAAGCCAATGATACTTCTGGCTAATTTGAAATTTATTTCAATTTAGAACAAGATGTTGAATCTGATGGGTCACTTGACTGTTCCAAACTCTTTTCACATGTTCAGGGTATTGGGTGAAATGGACTATCTCTCTGTTCCAATCCTGAATGCTTGTAGTAAGATAATAATAGGTAAGTCATGACAAATGTCTGAGATTGCTAATGTTCAAATCAGTTTATTTAATTATAACGCTTTTGAACCCAGTTTCTTTTAATTTGCCATAAGAGTTTACAGATAAGTATTTGCTTGCGAATAGCAAAACAAGAAAATAGAGAGTATATGTGGATTATGGTTGAACTGTTGAGTTCTTGGTGTTCTCTGAGCTTGATTGTTTTTCTGCAGATGTTTGCAGCATCCTGTGGTCAAGTGCCTGCAGTTGGTAACATTTTTTTTGCCAGAAACAGGGATCTACTTCTGTTTTCTGGCAAAAAAAGGTCCATTGCAGACAATGGGTTACTTAATAACCAAGGTGTTCACTTAATGACCAGCACAATTACATCTGTAATTTTGGGCTCAGTTATGGTTGAAAACCATTTATATCTGGAAATTTCCATATGGCCTATAGTTTATAAAACTAGACTTCTGCATTTATAGTGAAAGTAATAAATATTTAAGAGAATTGGCTCAAAAAGATCATTCTTAGATTACTTTAAATCAGCACCAGGGGCTTTTTGATTTTATTTAACAATAATTAATGGACATGGATAAGAAGGGTCAAACAGTTGGATGGCATGTTAATAAATTCTTCAAAAGAAAGAACTTCCACTTGACCAAATGTTGTTCTTTAGTTTTGTCAGTTATGTTGTATTTTCTGCTTCAGGATTTATCATGTCATTTCTTTTTACAAACTAAAAGCACAAATGTGTTTACCAGTGTTATCAACCAAGTGAATTTCCAATGTTAGTTTTCTTTGTATGCATTAGAAAACATTGAAGGAACTCAATTTTGGAACCTAATGAATGTTTTGAAAACTGGCAAACAATTAAGATACCAAAACAGGACACTTTATTCTGCATTAGCTGATTATGCCACATCAGTCTTCTATACATGGAAAAGAAATGAGGTGAATATGTAGGATGTCACTAGTCATATTACTGGCATTCTCAATAGTAAATTAATGGTAGCATGGAATCTTAATATTGTTTTTAATTTTATTTTAGATTCACGATATTATTTAGGATAGTTCCTGTAACTACAAATAGGAATGGTGAGAGGTGTTGCAATTGGACAATATGCTTAATCTGTTTATTCTATAATTTCACAAATATATGCTGAACTATGAATAATGTGAATAAAAGGTTTTTGTTTCATCTAAAAAGTTATCAGGAAAGTGAAAATAGATAGGAAAGAGGTAAATAAAAAATTAAGTATAATAGGATTCTTTAAATGGATGACTGGATTTCAATGTGTTGAGTGCAATATGATGTTTTTGTAGTCTAGTGATTTGGGACAGATTTAATTCTTCCATGTGTTTAGAGATACAGTGGTAATTTGCAATCCAATCTAAAAAGGTCTCCAATGCAGCCCATGATTATAAAATATAGTGACAGTGTAATAATAAGTCCATACAAAATTTCACCCTCCATTAGTGATAAAATCAGAAAAATATAATCAAATAGAAATAGATACATCAGTCACCAGATATATGGTTTGTTAAAATAATATTTATTAAGTGCTTAGTAAAAGAGAATTTAGACTGTTTAATCTGACTACTACTATTCTCCCACGTTACAGTTGAGCTTCCTGTGAGGCTGGAAGTCATTTGAAAAAGAAAAGTGGGGGAGGGGAGGGGGAGGGACATTGGTTTGGTACTATATGTTCTGAACAGCAAATGGTAGACACTATTTTTTCATTCTCCAGGAGTATTTTTCCCAGCCATTTTGCTTTAATTTGAATTCAATTTAAAGTAAACTAACAATTTATAAGTAATAATGGTTACTCTAATGCATATCATAACTTTTTTCTGTATTATGAAAAATTACAGTTTGGAAAGGCTTTGAGTAGTTAACAGTTGGGCTTTAGAGAATGCAACCAGGCTATTATTATAGCAGATTAATTTCATATTATTTCATAAAGGACCAAGGGGAGAAATTTGCCCGAGAAGCAAAGGATTGTGGAATAGAGATGCAGGAAAGCAAAAAGAAATTTGCTTCTCTTTTCAATTGTATAATCTCAGGCCCAACAACCTTTTCAACTATTTTTTTTTTTTAAAAAAAATCCCTTAATAAAATTGTCTCGATATATGCACATTATTTTAACTTCTTTTTATTTCAGGTAATTATGTTACTTTCAGCCTTTGAAAATCTTAGTATTCATCCAGTCCAACTGATGGATAAATTTCTTGAGGAAGTGATGCTTCATCCAGAGTCCTTGAACCTGAAAGATATTATAATTATTTTACGAGTCTATTCCAATTTCAATCACCTCTCCAGTGGCCAAAACCAACAGTAAGTTATTCTTTACTAAATACTCATTTCAGAAATAATTTCTGAAACATTTCTGGTCATTTGTGAATAATCTCAAATTTGCCACTAAATTAATATATAAAATTCTTTAATGGTGTGAGTATTATAACATGGGTATTCAAATTTTGCATTACTACAATCCAGTAAAGGATGTCTATGATGACACATTAACACCCCCCCCCCCGAGTAAAACAAAAAACAGAACATAAACATTTTTATTTTTATTTTCTTGTTTGATTTTAACAAATATTTGAAAGGGGAAATGAAAGGACAGAAGAGAAGAGGAAAATAGAAAACAGATTTACAAGTCGTATAAGGTTGAATAAACTCATAATAACATTAGATTTGTAATGCATATAAAATTGACTTTCATTCATTCACTCCCTGAGATTTACAGGGTGCCTCAGTGTGTTACAACTCTGGGCAACTTACAAAATACAATAAGAAATCTGACAGAATATATCATTAAAAGAGAATCCAAGGAAAGTCAAAGTTACTTAACATACCAAAACATTCACCACCCCTTCAAAGCAGGGGCTAGAGCATAGAGCACTTTGCAGCCAAATCAAATCCATAATCAGTAATTAATGGAGGCAATCGATATAATAAGAATGGTCAATCAGAATAAAAAATTGGAGTTTCTATCTAATAAAGAAAATCTGTCATAACAAATCAGGCAAAATCTAATATTATAAAAAGCCTTAAACCCCAATTTTGGACTTAGTCCTAGTGGTAGAAACAATATTTTGAATGTGAAGGGGGAGCTGCCTTGGTCTGCATAATTCCTGAATCTGGATTTCCCTTTCAGGATAGCCTTCAGAGTAGCCTCTTGTTCATCAAGATCAGGAGAAAAGAGGGAAAAGGCTCTTTCCTTGTCTGGGCTGCTCTAGGTACCCAAGTACTGTTGTTAAACTGCTGCTGCTTACAGGACATTGGTAGACTAAAGACTGGGGCAAATTTCTCCAGCACTGCCCATGAGGGAACATGTGCATCTGTCGTTCGGGAATAGTTACACAGGCATTCTTTTTATATGTCAGCGAATGTTAGCGTTTCCTGCTTGACCGTGCCTTGCCTTCTTCCTCCTCACAGCAGGAAGTAGGAACCAATCAGCAGGGTGCACGTCTCACACAATATGCAATTGGGATTCAGGAGGTGTTTGCTTTGGCCCGTCTGCAGCCCTTTGCAACCTCCACTTACCCATAAATCCCTTTGCAATGGAGGCATGCAGTGATGGCTATTGGTAGTTACGGGCAATGCTAAATCAGTCTTAAATGACTTTTGGACCTCTCTCTCACGGAGCCTTCAGGAGCCTGGCCTTTTTTTTAGTACCGGCCTTGTGCTTGTAAATCCCTTCCCCTCTGTAAATATTCTTTCTGCAGAATAAGCATTGGGCCAAGTGGTCTGCCCTTAAGGCATCATCATTCCTTCTTTGAAAATTAAATATAATGTATTTTTTAAAAGGATCGGCATCACTTGGGCTTCATACATCTTGCTCGAATATGCTGGGTTGGTTGGTTTACATTCACTACAGATTTGCCTCAGTGTATCAACGTAATAAATGTCCTATAAAAATCATGGGCAGTGCTGATGCTGTTGTGGTTTGCTTAATTACCAGGATAAAAACAGACCATAGTCAGGTGCAGCAAATTATATTCTATCTTTGAAAATGAATATTAAAAATTGAGATATTATAATGATAATTTAAAAAGCTACCATGGTACAAGTATTTTTAATTTAAAAGGTAATTACAAACACATTATAACTTGTTCTAGAAGTGGTGCTAATACTAAACAAATCAAATCTGAACATGATGGAAGAGCTATGTGTTTTATTTTGGATTGTGGAAGGAAGTTCCTATTGCAAAATAATGATATGTAAATATTTTCCTAATTATCTCATGAATATATAGCTATGAGTTGATATATAAGCTATTTGTAGATTTATTTAGCCTATTAGGAATTTATATATTTATTTACCTCCATTTTTAAAGGTTTTTTGACTCTCTGAATAGTATATTGAATAAACATCTACATGAGATTGATAATACAGATTTACTAAGAGTTGTATATTCATTCTGTCTTGGTGGATATCTTCCCCAACTTGCTCTTAATCAACTGCTTCAAGAGGAAATCCTCAGTGATCTAGTAAAATCAGGTTAGAGATTATTTTATTTTTGTTTTCTTTCTTTAATCTGTGATGATCATATCTATGTATGTAATTTTCTATGAAGACAAATTAAAACAGTCTTGATGTAGATGTCTTGGCATGTATGTATGCATGAAAGTTTGTAACATCCAGAATAATGTGTTGTGTATCTATTGTATACTTTTACAACAACAACAACTTGTTCTGTAGATAGTATAGGCTGAAGTTGATGGTGGGACTAGTCCCTCAATTTTCTTGGCAAGGGTGTCTGCTTTCCAGGACTGAGAGAGAGTGATTGGCCCAAGTTCACCCATCTGGCTTTGTCCCTAAAGCAGAACTAGAACTCATAGTCTCCCATTTTCTAGCCTGATATTTTAACTACTACAACCACTACACCAAAGTGGCTGTCTTTTAAGTTGTTTAGCATGGAAAAATAATAATAGAAGACTACAAACACTCATGAGTTTACACAAAAAAATAAATGTAAAAATGCATAAAATTTCATGATTAGTATATAATCATTACAATATACTGGTATATACTGTAAGAGGGATAGCTATATTAATTTCACGAATGTACTTTAAACAAATGGTTAAGTAGATGTTAGCATTTTATGAAGCAGTCAGTTTCCAATATGTGTTTTTTCTCTCTCTCAACAGCAACTCCCATATGAATATGGGGAGTTTAATTTTCAGCCTTTCAGCTATGCCATTGGTCAAGCAGATTTACCTCTGTTCTGTTTTGTTCTGTTTTCTGTTTTGGAAACAAAATTAAGTATGTACTACTGCAAAAAAAAATTAGAGAGGATTCCCAGCAAGTACATCTTTGTAATTATAGTCAAGATTTAGTTGTATCCAAGGTGTTGAAAACCAGTAGACGTACTTGAAAGTTATTAGGGAAGAAACTGAAGCTGGTTTCTTGTTTCCTATTTTATTTTAAAATGGCAGATAAAATTTGGACTGAGAACAAGGTTAAGTCTATAGATCAATATTTTGTTCTTTGTGTCTTTGGCATTTTTGTGAGATTATAAAAAGAATAAAACCTGACTAAAACCACTAATTAAAACATCTTTTGTATTCACATTTGGTTACGATACATTGGTGGTCTTGGAATTTCTTATTATTTTAATTAAATTAGATAATCCCCCTAACCCCAGGTTAAACCAATTTTTCAGTTGGAGAATTTTACAAATTTGGAATGAGGAATTGAAGTATTCTAATCTTCCAATGTGATGTCTTCAGGTTTTTAAAAAATTATTAAATATTTTCCTCGGGTTTTGAGGTGAGAATAATTCCCAAAATATTTTGTGTAAATGTTTCTATTGAACTTCTCGGGGATTGTTTCTAAAAGGCTATTTATATATTTTTCTATCCTAGTTGTTTCATAAATACGAAGATCTAGTAACAAATATTATGGCCATTGGCTGGAAATCCTACACATAGTCAAGAGAATGTTGACAAGGGAGATTTGTTTAAATATATTAATGTGCTGTTAATTACATCCCCAAAATTTTGAATTGATCTATTTATGAAGAACTTTGGATATATTATGCTTTGGTTGTTGTGAAAAAAAGATTATGTTCTTAGAATGACACTGGCACACCAGATTATAAAGAGCTACATGGTAAGCCATTGATTTGGTCTTTATCAACACAGTGGAAGGGACAAAGTACCGTATATGATTCTCTGTCAAACTTTAACTTAAAATTTGAGAAGCTTTAAATAGAGGAAACAATATGTTTCTTTTATTACTGCGCCCATATTTTTCTTTTTTGTCCTTTTCCCCTCTTTTTTGTACAGCACTTTTATATTTTGTTTTCTTTTGGTGTATTAAAACAATAAAAACAAAGTTAAAACATGTAAAGGGGATAAAAGACTCCTGGTAAAGGTAGTTATCAAGCTATATTCGTTTTATTTCTAGGGTGCAATGTGGGGAGAAGGTTGCAGACATCAAATTAAATTTGACCATGAGCTAATACTGATTGAGGATGCTGTTTCGAGCTTTCCCAAAGGCTTACGGAATTGAACAAATCTCCAGTATTTCATTCCAATATTTGAAAACATATGTTTTTCATTCTTAGGCAAAATATATGTCTTTATTCCAGCAGTAAAGCGTTCATTGGCTAACAGTTTTACTTTTAATTTCTTTTATATAGGAAAAAGTCTAAGTATGTTGTCTGCAATAAATGTTTGTCTAGAACTTGATGGAAATTCTTCCACAACATCAACAATTTTATCAGAGAAAGTGTCATCATTACCAAAGGAAATATTTGATTTTAGTTATCCTGAAATACAGGAAGCCCTGCTTACGCTTTTGGGAAATGAAAATTCGTTTCAATCACATGTACAACTGGCTCAAGGTTACTGCTTAGGTATGAAATGTCACAGTGTTATTATTGTCCAATATGGAGCATTTTCTTTGAAGCTTGAACAGGTGCTTTCCTATTGCTACTCAAATCATTTACTGATTTTAACATATATAAAACTCTGATATGACTAAAGCCCAGATTACTTTATTAAGGACAGTTCTTTATTTCAGAAAGTTATCCTTTAAATTAAGATATTTTTCAAATGCTACTTTTGCCCTTTCCGGTCATTTAACTTTTACTATACAAATGGTACCACTTAATGTGCAGCCTTTCACATTTTGTGAAAAATATGAAAATTGAATTGTCTTTTTAAAAATAATTTACATTTATTTATTTAAAAATAAATACATTTTAGATATTTTTATTAGAATATGTCCTTTTGTAAAGTTTTTCTTGGTTTTGCTCTTGATTTTTCCTTTGTAAAAGAAAGTCATAAACACAAAACATTAAAAAAATACCCATATGCATCTCTTTCTGATTTGCTCCTTTTTGAGGTTTGTCCTTTATTTTTTCCGAGAAAATATAATCACTCTAGAGATAAGTAGCCATATAAATCCATAACAATAAAATACATATAAACAGATATGGCTAAAGTACAGATTACTTGCCTGCTGCCCTGTAGCTATGAAGGGATTGTCTTGCTATCTCCTATTCCTCACCTCAAGGGGTGGGGACCCAGAAGAAGGCCATTTCTATGGTTACTCCATCTCCATTTAAATGCATTTTTCATTGGGAAAAACAACTAAAAGCTTGTAAGAGAACATTGGGATTAAGTGATTCACTTTCAGTCATTATTTTTGTGATGCTAGCTTTGAGCTGTTGTATAATTGCCTTGACCTAGCCCCCCCCTCACAAATATAAAATATTAAGCATAATGTTATAAAAGATAATGGAAGAAAAACTTAACACTTAATGGGGCAATCATGCTTATATGTAGATTTTAAAAGAAATTTAAAATTTCCTTTAAGAGACAATTTGTTTACAGTTTTAAAAATTTGATTTAAAGTTTTCTTGTTAATAAAAATATAATTTTATCACCCATCCTTTTTTACTGATAGTATGTATTTTGTTTCCATGCTTAACATGTGCTCATTGCTTCAAAGTGCAGAAGAATTCAGTGCTGTGTATGAAACCATATTAGTATGGAAAGATTTTGTCCAAACCCTCAGTTGTTTATAATCAGTTGTAATTTTTTTTCTCCATAACCAGAATAGTATTTCTCTTCATCGATGTTAGTAAAACAAATGTAACTTATTTGCATTTAATGTTATTGAAATACATTTTCCTTGTATTATTTTGAGAAATTCTGAGTGTATAGCAATTTATTTATAAAAATATAATGTTTGACTTTTTTTTAGATTTTGAAATTTTAATGGATACAAACCGAAAAATAGCATTGACAAGCACAGAAGCAAATCAGCTGAAAGGTGATCCCAACCTCAAAAGGTAATTTTATCTGAGTGTAGGTTTTACTTAGTTTGTTATTCAATAGGTTGAATTTCCAGGCACAATTGTTTAGATTTCATTATCTGTAGAGAAATAAAGACTTCATTTATGTGCAGACATCCAGATCTAAAGGCAAAATGTACATGTGGACACACTTCAAGAACCCATGCCATTTCCTGGGATTCAGCAGGTACCCTCTCCACCTGCTGTATGATCTCTGGAAAATAGAGGTGCATTTTATGTGTACACACAATAATTCATTGGAATGATCTATCTTTATCTTTTTAAACTGTCATTCTAAAGGCAATGGGTTTATAGCAGGGCTATAGGCATTAATCTGAAGGCTGTATCAGCCTTGTAGGACAGGCTTTGGTTACAGTTATCCAAATGAAGAGCCTTTGAAGTTTTCATCCTTATGTTGCTATATTGATATTTACAAGATTCTGCAGACTGCTATAATTAATTCTGTTATTATTGTAGGCATTTCTCTTGTTCTTGGTTACAGGATAGCAGTGCTGTGCCCACCTTCAGCTGCTTTCTCTAATCCCTCACAACACCCAAAGGGCAGGTTAGCAATGAAGATAAGACATTTAAATCAACTGGGATACCAAGTTATATTGGTAAGAAAACATGTTGTTGAAATTATTAAGGGAGAATAATATTGGAACTTGTCTTTTCCTAATGATAGAATGTCCTCACAAGCTCCAATCTTCTCTCCCCCCCCCTTTTCATTATGATTTTTGATGTAAGATTTGTGCTAATTTACTGTTAATTCTTTTCTCTTCTTTTTGTTGTTGTTGTTGTTGTCAAGGTTTCTTATAAGGAATTCCAAAAGCTGGAGAAAGAAGAGGCAGTTTTGTTCTTCAAAAGACAAATATTTTTGGCAGAAAAACATTTAGCACCTGAATAAAGTACTCAAGGTGGCTGAAATGAGTCTCTGGGAGCAAATCTAACTGAGTTCATTGAATTTTGGATTTTGAATATTTAATGATAGTAATTTCACTATTTTGTAGTTTAAGAAAAAAAACTCTGAATAAGATTCCGTAATATTCCTGTCTCTCAAATTCATATGAAAATGAAGAACATACATATGTAACTACAAATATATTTACCATACCCAGTGAATGCTAAATATTGGGTAGCAATAAACAATTTGATTGTTTTCATTCTCAGTAAGAACTTGATTGCGTAATAATTTATTGGCTTGCATGCAAATAAGTATTTTGTTCCTGTAGCTTCGTATTTATTTATCAGATGCCATTTTGAAGATCCACTGTAAAGTATAATAATCAGGGATATTTGTGTTTTTAAAATGTTTTGGGAGAAATGGTTTAGACTTGTTGGATTACTGCTTCTAACACTCCCAGCCAAGCAAACCAATGAAAAAGTTGGCTCAATTAAAGCTGAATTTGATCTTTTATGCCAGTGCCTTCATTTGTCCTACAGGTGGTGCTATATGCTTGGTCATAACTCATATTTAGGAAGACTTCTGTATTACTTTTGATTTACCTGTACAGAACTTTTGCTCCCGTTAAGAAAAGAGCTAGAGAACACATTTTTCTTCATTTCTGCTTTAATAGAACAAAACTTACCCAAAAATGTGTTTCTTGAGAAAAATTCAAAACTCTTAATTTTTCTGAGTTAGGGCTGATCATGATTACAAATAAAATAATAAAATTGTTCTAATTGTTCTAGTGAGACCAAGATAGGCATAAAAGCTAAACATACTATTTCCACATTGTTCAGATGAGTTTTTGCATTGTTAAAAATGAGTTGTGTGTCTACGTGTACCTGAATATTTTACTGAAATGAATAACAAAGCCTAGCTCAGATTCATCACTAGTGAGATGGGGGACATACTATATAACATACACACACACACACACACATACACAAACATATATACCGTGTTTTCCTGAAAATAAGACCCATTCCTTTTTTTCCCCTCCAAAAGAGGCACCAGGTTTTTTGGGGGGGAGGATCTTTTCCAATCACCTTGCAGCAGCAGTACCGACAGCCCACCCAACTGGTCCACTTCTTTTGCTGCCAAAGGAGCAGCTTCATTCTGCAGCTGAGAATAGAGCTCTGGTCTGCATTTTGCAGTCAGAGGCCTTCTAGAAAGGCCTCTGCAGCCGAGAACCAAGCTAAGGGTTGAATCCATAGCTCGGTTCTCAATTGAAGAGGCCTTCTGGAAAAGCCTCTGACTGAAATGCAGTCCGGAGTTCCATTCTCAGCTGCAGAATGAAGCTGCTCCTTCGACTGCAAAAGAAGTGGGCCAGCGAGGTAAGTATTGATCCAGGGAGGCCTGGTGATCTGACCCGACTCCTCAAACACAACAGACACACCAATAAATCTTCAGTTTTACTTTTATTCAGGAGCGCCAGCAGCTTCATCCAGCTGACTGTTAAAGTCTTTAGTTGCTTCCAAACAATGGCGCTCGCTCCCTTTTCCCCTGCAGGGGTCTCCCAAAACCCAGAGTTGATTTCAGTTTCTCACCACGCTTGCAGCAAGAGTCCTTAGGCAAGCTGGCTTTTTTCCAACGTGCACCACAGGATCCAAGGAAAACTCCAGCAAGTTTACAAACCAGAGTCAGGAATTCCAAATAGAAGTGGCTGACCGGCAGGGACACGAATAGTTGTCTGCCACACCTATTTGTCTCCGCCCCTGCCTTTTATCCACAGCTGATGGTGGGGCTCTCTTAGCAGCTGATCTCAGCTTCCACCACACCTGTGCATCAATCACTGGCTCCATGTGATCCTCCTCTCCTGAATCACTTGCCTCAAGGCATGGAGGTCTCAGCCTTTCCATCTGGGGGCTGGCGGACGGCTCAGGCTCTGCCTCTGTCCCTGACTGCGACAGTTCCATTCCTTCATCCCCATCGGAGCTTTCAGATGACCCTGACGCTGAGGCCGATGTCCATCCCTGTGCTTCCTCCTCTGAGTTGGCTGTGGAGTTTTCCGGTGGCCGAGAGGCCACAACACCTGGCTGCAATAGTAAGGTCCACTCCCTCACCCCCACCCTAGCTTGATTTTTAGGCATGTACTTTGCCCCAAAACTAGGGCTTATTTTTGGGATAGGCTTTACTTTTGGGGAATCATGGTATACACACATACATATTATACATACATACATTTATATGTTTGTGTGTGTACATATACATATACTATATATGTGTATATTGTGTGTGAGATTCTATCTTGAACTTGCAGCAATGGATTAATTAAATCTTTCCTGAAAACTCAGTATTTGGGTAAATTCCTTAATGTTTCTGCTGAAATAACAAAATTCATGTTCATATGATTTGTATAATTTATACAGGTAGCATTGAATTGGGCTTAATTTGTACTAATTATTTATCCATTTTAAGGCTAGGGTATAACCTTTACATGAATTTGGAATACTCAGTAAGTCAATCCAGACTATTTTTAAAATGGATATATTGAACAAGTTCATTATTCTCCCAAAATTCTCAAGACTGGAAAAAGAGAAAAGGCAAAATAGTTTTCCTGCAAGTACGAATGACCTCCCCCCATATATCTGGAATTTTGAGATACTAGACAGATTAGGCCTTTCTACTTTTTGTTTGGGGAAAGGGAGGGTTGGTGTAGCATGAGCAAGTAAGTATCATCCTAAAGGCTTGTGAGGGTTTGGACAGATGTGAACCTAGTCACTACCCAGACATAGACCTGCATGTATGGAAGACTTTAGCAAAATGAAGGAGCAGTATGTGACACAGATGCTTCACCACTTGTACACTTCTCACTGTAAAAGGTGGGAAATAGTTTGCTGGGTAAGATCTGGCTAATCAGGATCCCAAACATTCAGAAACATGTTCATGTTTCAAAGCTAAAATCAATATTTTGCCTCAAGTATCCGTTTATGATTTATATTGAAAATAAGTACTTTGCTTTGGTCTTTTGCTAATACTCTTAATTTTTCAATTCATGTCATTCAGTGCTTAAATCATTAGGCAGTTTTATATTGCTTGTAATTTAAAACAACTGAAACTGTAATCTTTTTAGCTTGGTTGAGAATCATATTGGGTTTCTTTTACAGATAACAGAGTGTAATCAAATTCCGCATCTGTGTAAGATTTTTATTCTGTTACAAGCAAAGCGTTGATTATAAATGGGTCAAACATTTAGCAATAAAATCGTTTAGGAGGGACTTCCAACAGATTACACAAATTATCTTGATGATCTACCATTTCTGTTGTGATGGGTTACAATCTTTGTCCATTTATTTAGAAGAAACACTGGCAATCACTAGAGCAATTAGGTATTTAGAGAGCCATTTGGTGTAGTGGGTGAGGCATCAGACTAGAAACTGGGAGATTTTGAGTTCTAGTCCCACTTTAGACACAAAGCAAGCTGGATGACTTGGGCTGGTCGCTTTCCCTCAGCCCTGGGAAGAAGGCAAGGGCAAACCTTGCCAAGAAAACTGCAGGAACTTGTCCAAACAATCTCCAAAAATTGGAAACAATTGAACAGACAAAAAAAGGGGAGGCATGGATAGGATTGTCTGAATACAGAAAGGCATAAGATAGCCTGTTCCTGTTATAAAGTGAGAAAGATTATAGTGCAGAACCCTGATAAGAAAAAGCTGTCAAGGCTGTCTGAGAGTAAAGTAGAAAACCTACTCTAAAGTAGTCTAGATGTTACAATCATGACAAATGATTTTTATGCTTACCAATTCTCCCATGTAACTTGATACTGTACCATTATATCCCTTGGGCTCAAGGAAAACCAGCCCTCCAGCAGGCAGGAAGATGAGGATTCTGTGCTTTTCCATCTCTGAGAGATATTACTTGACTCAGCTAAAGGGCATATACTGTACAGTCTAATAGCCATAGACTGATAAGGGTATATTTAGAGGAAGATGAAAACATTAAGGCTGAACCATTGTCAAGACATTGAAATCTGGATTAACAACCTGCCTCCATTTTACACTGTTACTATTAACTGGAGAAAGTACAAATCACGTCTCAAAGATGGCCTGTTTAAGCCTGAAATGTGTCATAAACCAGAAAATAGCATCTAATTTACATGTTTTCATTAACATAATTAACAGTTTGCATCACATTTGCTTGAACATCAAGGATGCTACCAATGCCAAATATGTTTCCTCCTCATAAATTTTATTATTATATGCCCTGAGGGGCCTTTAAATTTTAGATTTGTTTGTTTGTTTAATCCAGGCAATCCTTTCTCACGCCAACTGGTTGCACCAACTGAGATTTCACTCTTTTTATTAAAAATGCTCCTCTCCCTCTGAAAATTTGTCACAAAATAAAAAATCAGGTAAGTCCTTAGGATTTTCTTCCAGTTTGGGGGACATTTGATTTTTATAACTCCTCAGTAAATTAGTCTTAGACAATTACCATTTCAGATTTTGCTAGCAGAAAAAAAACCAATTATGTGGGTTAGTTCTTATAATGAAGTATGAAGGTCTCAAAGAATCCAAATGTTCCATTCGGGGATATAGTTTGACACTTTTCTTAACCTGTTTCCATATCCACATTTTCTGTTCCTAGATGCCTTTATTACCCACACCCAGATTGCTCAAGATGAACAAAGTATCAGATTTCTAGATACATTAAATGACTAAGACATAGACTGGGATGGACAGAGGAGATGCAAATTCTGAATTAATCCTAAATGGTAATGATTTGTTATGGGTATGGAAGAACTGATAGAAAATGGTGACCATTTTATTATCAAATTTAGCATACATGGATGTGGGAAATTGGTATCCCACACAATCGTACTCAAATATACACTTCTAAAAAGAGGTCATCCAGGGGTCTAGGGTCCACTATCATCAATGTGCCAAGGACACCCAATTCTACACTGCAATCCTGGGTTGCTCTGGAGGACTGTTGAAGTCTTGTCATGCTATCTGGAGGCTGTAAGGACTGGGTGGGAGAGAACAGGCTTAAATTGAATCCTCGCAAAACAGCTACCGTTGTTTGCACTTTGGGGTTTCTGTACAACCCTTCTCTCGCCTCAGGGTGAGGTTGCAGTGCCCCTGAAAGAGCAGGAGTATGACTGGAGACCCTTCCTGGTCTTATAGTGGAGGTCATAGGGGAAGGGGTCTTCACCCAGCTTCAGGCAAAGTAGCAGTGTTCCAGTGAGTTTTTGGCCCTTAAGTACATAGAGTATGTTCACAGAGGACAGATTTGTCAAGACAGTGAGCATATCTAATATTCCTTCCTCTTCCTATTTTTCACACAACAATCTTGTGAGGTGGATTGGGCTTAATTGACATTGAAGTTCCAGCATCCAGTTTGTTTTTCATAGCATAAGGAGTTTAGTACCCACAGAGTTAGGTTTATGATTTTTAGCATGCTAGATACAGGCTCTTTCACCTGTAACCCAACTCTTTGTCCTTACTAATGAGAATATAGCATATATTTTACAC